TTTGGTCTCTTCCGTGTCAAACTGGTATAGTGGAAAGTACATAGGCGTTAGTGTCAAGTACTTACCTGAGGTGGTACTACCTGTTTGACCTTGAACAAGTTCTCTGAATGTTATTTTATTTCTTTGTAAAAAGAAGGAAAGTGATTTCAACTTCTTTGGGTTTTCAAGATTAAATGAAAAGAGGTGTTTGAACAGCTTAATAACACTTGGTACTGATAGGGCCATAAATAAATGTTAGTTATCTCATCTTGAAAAATTAGGCTAGAAGTAGATGTTCTCTAATGTATCTTTCGCCAATAAAGTTTTATGATTCTATTTTAAATGATTCTTGTTACAACAGAATACTTTGGAAAATTTATTATAACAGCACTGATCTGAAATTATGTGGAAAAGCGTGAGGTGTTTTAAGTCTGTAAAACTGATGCTGACCATATTTCCTGCCTGTTTTCCATATTCCACAGTGCTGGACACGTAATAAATCTCAGGTACTTGCTGCAATTTTAAGATTCATGAAAGAATAACATAGGTTGAAATTTCTTAGAGTCGTTAAATACCGTAGAGATCTATAGATTTTCACAGGTCTGTGAATTCTTTGAAATTATATGCAAAGTTTTTAGTGTGCCTGAATTGTAGTGAGGAGCTATAGCTTTCATAGTGAACAAGACAGATTAGGTCTCTCCTCTTGTGGAGTCTGTTCTAATAGAAGATAGACATTGAATGAACAAATAAAAATATAAGCAAGAAAATACAACTTACAGGTGATGGAAATGTTTCGTAGAGAATTTAAATATAGTGATGGACAAGAGAGTGATTTAGAGATTATTTTAGAGTTTTTTTTTTTTTTAATGAGAGCTTTTTTTTTTGAGGAAGATGGGCGCTGAGCTAACATCTGTTGCCAGTCTTCCTCTTTTTTCTCCCCAAAGCCCTAGCACATCGTTGTATATCCTAGTTGTAGGTCCTTCTAGTTCTTCCATGTGGGATGCCATCTCAGCATGAGTTGATGAGCAGTGAGTAGGTCTGCGCCTAGGACCCGAGCCAGCGAACCCTGGGCCGCTGAAGTGGAATGCGCAAACTTAACTGCTACACCACCAGTCCGGCCCCTGTTTTAGAGTTTTAAGTGGCAGGGAAGTCTTCTGAGGAGTTGACATTTTTGGTGGCATCTAAATGATAAAGAGTGGGTTCCAGTTCAAAGATTAGACAGAGAGAATAGCTAGTACTAACGTCCTAAATTGGGAACAAGCTTCACTTGAGTAGCTGGAAGCTGGTGGAGTGATGGGGACAAGTGTTAGAAAATAAGTTGGAGAGATAGTTACACGTTGTATCATTTAGGGCTTTGTAAACCAGAATAAGAAATCTAGGTATTATTCTAAATGTAATACAAAGCCATTTCAGAATTTTTAGCTGGAGAAGGATGAGAAAAGGAAACTCAAGATAGACGTCTGATAACTCCAGCATTTAGGAGTTTAAGAGATCAAAAGCATAGCCAGTAAGTTGGGAAGGATAAGAGTAGTGTGGTTCATTGACACTTTCAAGGAAGAGGCAGTAGTCATCTGTTATCTTCTTGAGAAGACAAGTAAGATTAGAACTATGACCTTACCGTTAGATTTGGCAACAAGTCAGCCAGAAGAACAGAATGACTGTAAAGTCAATAGCTATAGGGAATGTAGCTTTGTGATGTTGGTTTTTGAATGAAAACAGCAACTAGTTCTTCCTTCTTTATATTCAACCTTTAATCTATGGTGGTGATATGGTTAAGAATTTGGGGTTTGAGCCAGATTATCTGGGTTAATATCTCAGCTATGTTTCTTTTTAGCTTACTCAGCCTCTCTAAACCTCCGTTTCTCATATCTGTAAAATGAGAGAACAATAATTACCTACCTTTTAAAGGTTTGCTTTACGTAAGGCATTTAGCACAGTATGTGGCACATAGCTGTATAAATAGTAAAAATTATAATGATGTACAATAAAACATTTATATTTTGTGCTCTTTTAGGTTTGTATAGTTTATAGTGTTTAAGGGAATAAAGTGCTGTGTTTTATCTTTACTTTATGATTAATTAACAAATTTTAAGTTCTCTACAAGGCCATACTAGTAAAAAGGAAGGAACCATTAGCTCTACTTTGCAGAGATTAACACAGGATCGGATTCTTTATAGGCATTAATATAAAATGCCATGCTAATCTATAGGAAAGTTCATGTGGATGATACTTTATCAACTTAATCAGCTTTAGCAAACATTTTCTGACTAATATACAGTTCTCATTCTGAATATTATGTCTTCTAAACTCTTACTTTTTTTGTTCTTTATTTTGGAGCATTCTGCAACCCCATGCACAATTGTAGTACTTGATTCTACAATTGAGTAGAGTAATTAGACACTGTGTTTTCTTTTTCAGCATTCCAGACGATAGCCTCAATTTATTTTATTTCATTTTATTTATTTATTTATTTTTTTGTGAGGAAGATCATCCCTGAACTAACATCCATGTTAATCCTCCTCTTTTTTTTTGCTGAGGAAGACTGGCTCTGAGCTAACATCTATTGCCAATCCTCCTCCTTTTTTTTTGCCCCCAAAGCCCCAGTAGATAGTTGTATGTCATAGTTGCACATCCTTCTAGTTGGTATATGTGGGACGCAGCCTCAGCATGGCCGGAGAAGCGGTGCGTTGGTGCGTGCCCGGGATCCGAACCCTGGGCTGCCAGTAGCGGAGTACACGCACTTAACCGCTAAGCCATGGGGCCAGCCCCTCAATTTATTAAGTAGTAATAATTTAGTATAAATATACTTGTAGCTACTCATAATCTATTTGCAGATGCATTTTATTAAAAGTATAATTAAATCAAAATATGGGGCAATTTATTTGCTCTTCCTTGTTATTCCAAGGGCCATTTGAACACATATGCAGATAATTTTAATTTTAGATCCTAAACATGAAATTAACTTGGTAACTGTCTACTAGACCAGTAAATTCTTTTCATTCTCCATTTATCTGGTAGCGCACTTTGCAAAAACCCAAGAAAAGCTGAGGTTACTCAGAAGGCAGGTACTGTGACTACGTTGTTTCACTGTTTCCCCAACAATTCAAACAGTCTGGCACATAGTAATGCTTAGTAAATATTTGTTGAATGAATGAATAAAATTTTTAGCATACCTAGTGGAAACTGTTTTCTCATCAGTGATAGACTTTGCATTTAAGGTTGAGTTATTTCTTTTCTTTTCTTTTCTTTTCTTTTTGGTGTGGAAGATCGGCCTTGAGCTAACATCTATTGCCAGTCTTCCTTTTTGCTGAGGAAAACTGGCTCTGAGCTAACATCTGTGCCCATCTTCCTCCATTTTGTATATGAAATGCTGCCACAGCATGGCTTGATGAGCGGTGTATCGGTCCGCGCCCAGGATTCGAACCTGCGAACCCTGGGCTGCCAAAGTGGAGCGCGTGAACTCTAACCACTATGCCACCTGGCCGGCCCCGAGTTATTTCAATAAAACATGAATTAAATGTAATGCTTGAAGAATAAAGTATGTAGATAATTTACTTTTCTATTTTCTGGTTAATTACACCTTAAGATTTTTTTTCATCTTTGTAAGCAGTCTCTACTGAGCATAATCAAATCTTTAAGAACTTGTAATACTGTGTTACTTTATTGTTCTATGTATCAGTTCTCATTTTTAGAAACTACACTTAGAGTAAGTGTAGAAGGTATTGTATAAGATATGTGCTAGAAGTTTTAGGTTGGGTTCTGTATGTGAAGACAATTTCTGTTAGACACAGGTGATGAGTTTTGTGATTTGGCTTTTATCCACCACCAAAAATAGAGGGTAGACAGTGAAATTTGATTATATGTGAGTTATGGTTAACTATAATTATCATTTTTTTTTAATAATTTTATTTATTGATTTTTCCCCCAAAGCCCCAGCAGACAGCTGCATGTCATAGTTGCACATCCCTCCAGCTGCTGCATGTGGGACGCGGCCTCAGTATGGCCGGAGAAGCGGTACAATGGTGCGCATCCAGGATCCGAACCCGGGCCGCCAGCAGCGGAGCGTGCGCACCCAACCGCTAAGCCACGGGGCCGGCCCGTGTTCTATCATTCTTAAGTTTGGGAATTTAAAAAACTTTTGAAGTAAATAATTTTAGGGCCGGCCCCATGGCTTAGTGGTTAAGTGCGCGCGCTCCGCTGCTGGTGGCCCGGGTTCGGATCCCGGGCGTGCACCGACGCACCGCTTCTCTGGCCATGCTGAGGCTGCGTCCCACATACAGCAATTGAAGGATGTGCAACTATGACATACAACTATCTGCTGGGGTTTCGGGGGAAAAATAAATAAATAAAATTATTAAAAAAAAATAATAATAATTTTAACTATGTCGTTCTAACACAACACGCTATAGCAACAAGTATAGGCTGTGCCAGTGGCTTAAAGATATCTACCAGTACATAAAATTCTTATGAATATCTAAAAGCATTAAAAATAAACCTTAAAAAAAACCATGGTCTCATCTCGTTACCCACGCCAAATTTTATGATAAAGTATTTTAGGGTAGTTTATATTTTAGGCCAATTTTTAAAAACTTTTTATTGAAGTGTAATACAAGTGTACATAAGTGTAGAGCTTGATAAATTTTTACAGCTGAACAGATTCATATAACTTGGTGTACAGATCAAGAAACAGAATATTATTAGTCACCGTAAAAAGGGTAATTTTTAAATATAAAACCATCATAGACTTAGATAAACTTGAGAGACTTAAGTCCTGGATTTAACATTATTACTAACTTCAGGTGTCATCTTTGGCAAGTTATTTCATTTTTCTGGGATCTACTCCCCATCTCTAAAATGAGGGGATGAGACTAATTGTTTTATTATGGCTCTAATTCTGTAAAAGTGCAAAAAGATGGAGTATGGTGGTATAAAAGGTTGTAGGTACAGGCAGTAGGGTGAGAACGCACAGTTTAATTGAAAAGGAAGACACTCATTTTTTTTTCTTTTTCTTTGTTTTCCAGGTTATATTTCACACTATGTGCTGACTGTATCTACAGAAGATATTTAAAAAAAAAAAAGATAAACTTTTTTCAAAGATTTTGATTCCAGTGGAATCTTTGCTTTAGATTTTGTGTGTGTGTGTGTCTGTTAGTGAATTGTAACTCCAGAAGCAATGCCTGTACAAGCTCCACAGTGGACGGATTTCCTGTCCTGCCCAATTTGCACTCAGACTTTTGACGAAACAATTCGAAAGCCCATCAGTTTGGGTTGTGGCCATACTGTCTGCAAGATGTGCCTGAATAAACTTCACCGCAAGGCTTGCCCATTTGACCAGACCACTATCAATACAGACATTGAGCTCCTTCCCGTGAACTCAGCGTTGCTGCAGCTAGTGGGTGCTCAGGTAAGATGGGGGGCTTATACATTTTAGTTTCTCTGTGTGTATATTTTCCTCCTGAGAGAAACGTGTTGAATTAAATTGGATAGCATTGCCTTCTATTTAAATAGATAAAATTCTGTTCAGCACAGTGCAAATCCTGTATTTCAGTATGTTAGGAGATGTATTATGGTAGTACAGTGTTTCTCGGTCATAGTATAGTAACATCCATTTAATCTGGTAGTCAGGCTTTCTTAACAATCTTAGCTATTCAGATCACTAGAGAAACCTAAAGGTAAGTCACAAGGACCTCTTAAGATTGAGGAAAATATTATAAAACCATTGCATTTTACTTAATAGGAAAAGTGAAGCTGCTGCAGACAGTTTTCGTAGTAGACCCTAACTGTAATGGAAGATGAGGGAAGGTGACAAAAACTGTAGATCACGGCCTTTGGGAACCATTTATTTAGAGTTGTAGCAAATATCCCTTAGTATCTAAATATAAAAGTTAGTCTGATAATTCTGAAAGTAATACTGTGAGAGTTTTATGTCAGTATTCTGAAATTAGAGATCAGTATCCTTAGAAGGTTCACAAAGCCAAGGGAGGCAGGTTTTTGAGAGCTAGATATGATTCACTTAAATAATCCCTCACTAAATTAATTTGCATAGTGTGAGTCTGAAGTACCATATATTTACTGTAAATCACTTTATGAATTAATATACTGGAACTTTGGATCTAGCCTAACTAATATTTTTAGATCAATCTTCCTATAAGCTGCTAAAAAATAGGGAAGGTTGATATTATGTATGTTGTAGATAAAGAGAGCAGTTCTAGAACAGCTTATTCAGAAGGAAAACTTACTTTATTTACACACCTATCTTGATGATGTCACCAAAAATACTACAAAATATTTGTCAAAAGGGAAAGTGCAATTGATTCTTTTTATTTTCTTCCTGTACTTAATTTTTGATTTTCTAATCATTTCTCCTTTTTTTTTTTCTTTTGTGAGGAAGATCAGCCCTGAGCTAACATCTATTGCCAATCCTCCTCCTTTTTCTCCCTTTTTCTCCCCAAAGCCCCAGTAGATAGTTCTATGTCATGGTTGCACATCCTTCTAGTTGCTGTATGTGGGACGCGGCCTCAGCATGGCCAGAGAAGCGGTGCGTCGGTGCGCGCCATGGATCCAAACCCAGGCCACCAGTAGCGAAGCACGAGCACTTAACCACTAAGCCGGGGGGCCGGCCCCCATTTCTCCTCCTATTTCAAAAATTCCAGTATGGCGTTTTGGAAACATTTAAAAAATAGACTTATTGGGGACAACAATTTTAGAAATACAGTATTTTAATAACAAATGACCAAGGCTTACTTCTTTTTCATAAAGTTGTTTAAGAATGAACTAATTCTTTTTGTACGAAATGATTAAGACCTTGTCATATCTTAACTGAAACAACTAATGTTTATGAAATTTGAGGATAGGACATTTTAATACATAATAGCCATTATTTTAACCCCACAGATTTCCATTAAACAACTGTTAGAGCTAATAAATGAATTAAGTAAAGTTGCAGTATACAAAATCAACATGCAAAAATCAGTTGCATTTCTATACACTAACAATGAACAATCCAAAAGGAAATTAAGAAACCAATTCCACTTACGGGAGCGTCAAAAAAAATAAAATGCTTAAGAATAAATTTAGCGAAGGAGGTAAAAGACTTGTACACTGAAAACTACAGAACATTACTGAAATTACAGAAGACATAAATAAATGGAAAGACATCACGTGTTCATGAATTGGCAGACATATTATTAAGATGACAGTACTACCCAAACCAATCTACAGTTTCAAAGCAGGCTCTTTCAAAATCCCAATGGTGGGCCGGACCCGTGGCTTAGCGGTTAAGTGCGTTCCATCCGCTGCTGGCGGCCCTGCTTCAGATCCGGGGCGCACACCGACGCGCCGCTTCTCCGGCCATGCTGAGGCCGCGTCCCAAGTGCAGCAGCTGGAAGGATGTGCATCTATGACATACAACTATCTACTGGGGCTTTGAGGGAAAAAAAAATCCCAATGGTGTTTTATTGCGAAAATAGAAAACCTCATTCTAAAATTCATATGGAATCACAAGGGACCCCAAATAGCCAAAACAGTTTTGAAAAAAGAGAACAAAGTTGGAGGAATCACACTTCCTGATTTTGAAACTGCAAAGCTACAGTGATATGACAGTGTGGTACTGGCATAAAGACGGACATTTAGATTAATGGAATAGAGTAGACAGTCCAGAAGTAAACTCACATATATGGTCAAATGATTTTTGACAAAGTTGCCAAAACCATTCAGTGGGGAAAGGACAGTCTTTCCAACAAATAGTGCTGGGGAAACTGGATATCTAAATGCAAAAGAATGAACTTGGACCCCTACTTCACACTGTTATACAAGAATTAACTCAAAAATGGATGAAAGGCTAAATGTAAGAGCTAAAACTACAAAACTCTGGGAAGAAAATATAGGCTTGAATCTTCATAACCTTGAAGCAGGCAGTGGTTTTTTTAGATATGACACCAAAAGCACAAGGAACAAAAGATAAGTTGAACTAAATCAAAATTTAAAACTTTGTGCTTCAAAGGACACTGTCAAGAGAGTGAAAGAACCATCCACAGAGTGGGAGAAAGAAATTGTAAATCATATATCTAATAAGAAACTTGTATTGAGAACATATATAAAGGACTCTTACATTTCAATAATAAAAAGAACACAATTTAAAAATGGGCAGAGACGGCGGCGCAAGCAGTTAAGTGCGCGCGCTCCACTGTGGCGGCCCGGGGTTCGCCAGTTCAGATCCCAGGTGCGCGCCGACGCACTGTTTGGCAAGCCACGCTGTGGCGGCATCCCATATAAAGTGGAGGAAGATGGGCATGGATGTTAGCCCAGGGCCCGTCTTCCTCAGCAATAAAAAGAGGAAGATTGGCAGATGTTAGCACAAGGCTGATCTCCTCACAAAAAAAAATAAAATGGGCAAAGATCTGAACAGACACCTCACCAAAGAAGATATACAGATATATATCAAATGGGCAAATGAGCAAATAAAAAGTTGCTCAGGGGGCTGGCCTGGTGGCGTAGTGGTTCAGTTCACACGCTCCACTAAGGTGGCCCAGGGTTCAAGAGTTCGGATCCCAGGCACGGACCTACACATGCTCGTCAAGCCATGCTGTGGCGGTGACCCACATACAAAATAGAGGAAGGTTGGCACAGACGTTAGCTCAGCACAGTCTTCCTCACCAAAAAAAAAAAAAGTTGCTCAGCATTTGTCAATAAGGAACTGCAAATTAAAACAACAATGAGATACCACTACACACCAACTAGAATAGCTAAAATGCAAAATACTGACAACACCAAATGCTGGTGAGGATGTGGAGTAGCAGGAACTCTCATTTATTGCTAGTGGGAATGCAGAATGGTACAGCCACTTTGGAAGTTATTGTATGATTCTAGGATTATGTTTATATGAAATGTCCAAAACAGGCAAATCCATAGAAACGGAAAACAGATTAGTATTTTCCTAGGGTTGGTGGGGGGTTGGGAGGGTAAATGGGAGGAGTGGTAGTTAAACGAGTATAGGGTTCTAGTGGAGGTGATGAAAATGTTCTAAAATTGTGGTGATGATTACACAACTGTGACTATACTAAAAACCATTGAATTATGTACCTTAAATGGGTCAATTATATGGTATGCAAATTATATCTCAATAAAGCTGTTACAGAAACAAAACAAAACCCCAAAAATGCGATAAATTTTGTGTGTGTGTGTATAGAAAAGATCTTTTGAAAGGATTTAGTAAATTTAGTGGGAATTTTGATGTTACCAGTGTTAATTAATTAGTGAGCACTGACACAGACCTTTCCTTTTGACTTCTAGGTCCCAGAACAGCAGCCCATTACTTTGTGTAGTGGGGTTGAAGATACAAAGCATTATGAGGAAGCCAAGAAATGTGTAGAAGAATTAGCATTGTACCTGAAACCACTCAGCAGTGCTAGAGGTAAATCAGATGCAATTATCTATGCTAAGAAAATCTTTATTAAAGATGCTTTTATTACCCTAAAAATTGTGGCTTTAAGTGAATATTAATGAAATTCATTTACTTACTGTAAACCAAACCCATTGGTGCTAAGTAATATCATTACAAACCACATCAAATAAAGTAGTGAATTTAGAGTTTATGTGATGTTGGAAACATTATTTGAATGAGTTACGGAAGTAAGTATAAGTACACTAGTGGTTTCAGAAGGGCTTCCCATCATTTCACACCTCTGAATTGTCTGCCTTCAATCCAGTTTTATGTGGTATGCTATAGGGGGTGGAATAAAATTGGAAGTTGCTGTTACTGCCTTGCCGTTACAGCTTGTTATTTCATTAGGAAGGTAAGATTAACCACTATGAAATAATATGCCAGAACTGTTAATAACCTCAAGTTTTGGATCTTAAACTGATGATTAGTATTTGGCCTTTTTTTCTTTATTCCTCCGTGATTAAAATGAATAATGGTCTATTTAATGTCATAATGAGTGTTATATTTGCATGAGATAAAAGCTTTTGTATACTTTTATGTAAAGTAATATGTAAATAATAAGTAATATGTAAAATGTAAAAAAGTAATCATATGTAACATGTAAATTAGGCTTCAATTGTGTAATTTTGTTTATTGTTTATTTTAAATATAGTATAACCCAGAACTGTTCACATACTCATAAGTCAATTAGCCCATCAGAGGAAGTTTTCCTGGACTCTAAAATTGCGTTGTAAACCTAGAAATAACTTTTTGCTCTCTTTTAAAGGAGTGGGTCTGAATAGCACTACTCAGAGTGTTCTGAGTCGCCCAATGCAGAGAAAGCTGGTGACTCTGGTCCACTGCCAGCTAGTGGAAGAAGAAGGCAGGATTCGTGCCATGAGGGCAGCACGATCTTTAGGTGAACGAACAGTTACAGAGCTCATTCTCCAGCACCAGAATCCTCAGCAACTCTCTTCCAATCTTTGGGCAGCAGTCAGGGCTAGGGGCTGCCAGTTCCTTGGACCAGGTATATAATTAAAGTTTGATATTTACTATACTAGTAATTTAAAAGTATGATGTAGCAACTATAAGGGATGTACAGAGGCTAGTTCTTTGCAATATTCTGTTGTTATCAAGCAGTAGCCCACTTGACGGTTATGGCTTGGGTAATTCCGTGTCAGTTTTTCTCAGCACTTAAAACGTTTCTCTTAATGCCAAAAGTTTATTCATTTTTGATAGTTTTTCTTAAATAGTTTATCTGCTTTCTTAAATAAAATATATGGGGTCTAATACAAAATTGCCCCAAAATCGTTAAAAAGTGTAACTGTGAATATCTGTTATTGTGTTGCCCATTAATTAAGTGGTACCTGCAGAAATTATTGAATACTGCCCTTCTCATAAGTGGATTTATCTTATCTCTGCACATGATGAATTTTGATTTTGCCCAACTTTTCCTAGCAATGCAGGAGGAAGCCCTAAAGCTGGTTCTCCTTGCCTTAGAAGATGGTTCTGCTTTGTCAAGAAAAGTATTGGTTCTCTTTGTGGTGCAAAGGTTGGAGCCACGGTTTCCTCAAGCCTCTAAAACTAGCATTGGGCATGTTGTCCAGCTCCTTTATAGAGCCTCCTGCTTCAAGGTATGAACCTGTGCGAAATATCAGCTTAAAAGGAAATGTTGTCCTTTCCCCAAACTTAAGTAGTAAAAGTTTGAGTTTAATAAAGTTGCCTGTATCTTTTCAGCAATTTTTCTTTTCTTTTTTTATTTATTTTTATTATTTATTTTAAATTTATTTCTTTATTGAGGTATAATTGACATATATATCCATTGTTTCTTTTTTTTTTTCTCTCCCCAAAGCCCCAGTAGATAGTTGTAGGTCATAGTTGTACATCCTTCTAGTTGCTCTGTGTGGGATGCCGCCTTATGGCTTGATGAGCGGTGCGTAGGTCCACGCCCAGGATCCGAACTGGCGAACCCCAGGCTGCTGCAGGAAGAGCATGTGAACCTTACCTGCTACACCACTGGGCTGGCCCCGTTTTTTTTATTTTTATTTTTATTTTTTTGGTGAGGAAGGTTGTCCCTGAGCTGACATCTGTTGCCAGTCTTCCTCTATTTTGTATATGGGATGCTGCCACAGCATGGCTTGATGAGCGGTGTGTAGGTCTGCGCCTGGGATCTGAACCCGCAGAGCATGCGATCTTAACCACTCTGCCACTGGGCTGGCCCCAACAATTTTTCTTTTAAAGAATGTAGGGCCAGCCCCGTGGCTTAGCGGTTAGGTGCGCGCGCTCTGCTACTGGCGGCCCGGGTTTGGATCCCAGGCGTGCACTGACGCACTGCTTCGCTGGCCATGCTGAGGCCGCGTCCCACATACAACAACTAGAAGGATGTGCAGCTATGACCTACAACTGTTTACTGGGGCTTTGGGGGAAAAATAAATAAAATTTTAAAAAAATTAAAAAAAAAAATATAGATGGTGTCCTATTAAAGTTAAATCTTGTTGTATTGAATTTCGTATGTTAAATATTGAACAGCAATAGATCAAACCAAGGCTTATAGATTTTTGTATTTGAAGAGACTAATAAGCTATGTCAGTTTTCCACCAAGACTATAAGCAAAATTGGTCTGAAGAGAGTCATGGAAGCAGGAATAAGTTTTATTTGGCTACTTGCCCTGATGTAATTCTCTGTGCACAGTACTGGAGCTCCATTTGCCGTTTTGGCTTCAGGATATATAGTAATGCTGGACATACTCTTTTGTATCCCAAACTGAATCAGCACCAATTCAAACACTGGTGCCAACTGTGTGTGATTTATTGTTCATTCTGTTTTCCTGACTTCTTAAGGTCAAGGCTTCTTGCTTCTGACACAACACAACCAGTACTTCATAGACCAGGGAAGCATGTCTAAAAAAAATCGTTAATTCATACAGGCTATAAGGAAATGTATTCATGAGGTCACCACATTCCCTCATCTGACACTCAAACTAAAAAAATCCCACATTTACCATCCTACTATATTCTTTTCTCTCTTTTTTTGAGAAGGATAAAATGGTTCACGAAATCAATAGGAGAGCAAACAGATTTAATTTAAAAATATTTTTAAAAGCCCTCGCTAAATGCCAAAATTACTCTGTTTCTTTCTAGAGTCAGATTATATACTGAAAATGGAGTGTGGACTCCAGGTCTGTACCCACCCTTCTCGTTTTTCTTAGGTACCTCTGGAGCTGTCACAGCTTCTAGCCAAAATAACTCCAGCTGGTCCAGATCGTCCCTAAATAACTCACATTCGTTATAGTGGTTGTAATAACATGATTGTACCATGTAATCCAGACTACATTTCAGAATGTCTGTCTGCTTCTGGTGTTACTTGTTCTCTCTCCATTAACAGCACCAGACAGATACAGTATAGGAAGCTTAAAAAATGAAAAGAAAGAAAAGGAGATCCAGCCTTCCTCTGTGAAGAAAAAAGGAGCTCAATACCCACAAAGTGAACCTCTCTCAATCCTAATTAAAAGCGTTAATAGTAAAAAAAAAAAAAAAAAAAAAAAAAATTGGAAATTTGTAAACATCCAATTATTTTTTATTTGGGTCATGATTATTTCCCTTTATTTCGTTGTCCACCTGCTTTCTTCTCTTGGTGGTAGTTTGTACTACACTCTCAATCATGAAAAGGTTTATCTTCTCTTATTGTAAACTTGATTCCCTATGGCAGAGTTTGTGTTAAGTGTCTATCAAAACCCATTTCATCTTCCTCATGGAACTCAAATCAGACTGCATTTTCCATTCTTCTTTGCATATAGCTGTGTTCTTATAGCTATGTTCTTACTGTGTCCTTTTAGCATTTCTTTTATTTCCATTTGAAAACCTTCTTCAAGCTGTGGGATAATTCTGGCCATTCTTAGTACAGTATAGTTCCAGGACTTTAGATATTGCATCTCTTGGAAATCCTTGATTGCTTTTAGTTAACGAGAGTTTTGAGAGCCGGGGAACCAGTATATCATATGGAAAGCATGTTCCACATTTTAATGAGGTTTAGCCTATATTGAGAGGATGTTTTCATACCTACACATATGCATTTGGTCTTTTGACTTGCCTTTGAATACTGTCGAAATATATTTAGTTTTTGTGATTATAGTTCTTGATTTTTTAATCTATTTGGTCTTTCTATGGACATACCTAACAAAATTTAAGTTAGACCTTCTTGTAATAAGAATGGAAGAATACGTTTTTAAATATAATGTCAATATGACCTAGAAGTCTTGACTAAAATAGTCTGTAGTTTCTTTGGTGGGAGGAAAAAAAATGGGAATTTTCTACTAGAGTAATTTGAGTCCTAACGGAAATAAAAGGTCAACAGGGCAAAATATGTTAGGATATAGGTGATCCTAGACTAGAATTAATTATTTTACTTTGATTTGTTAAGCCTTTAGACTAAATTCAGCTTGACTCAAACTGTGAATTATTTGGGGTAATATCAATAGTACCTTCCTCAACAAGTTTAGAGCATTAAATGAGTTAATAAGTCAGTATAATGGTTAATAAGGTAACAACACACTGACTGGCACATACTAAGTGCTCGATAAATGTTAACTATCTTTATTACTAAAAGATATTATTATCATCATTATGATTATTCTAGTCCAGCATCTCAGAATTTACACTTTCTGATGGTGGCCCACCCTATAAAACTCCATGGAGAATTAAGCCAAGTACAAATTAGTCGTCTTTAGAATCACACCAGCATCTGAAGCTCTTTCAGGTATGAGTGCCAGCTAGCTCAATGCCAGGCAGGTCCTTGCGTAATAATCCACAGTTATGGAGAAGAAACATAAATTGTTTTTTAGAATAATTGTTCTCCTATGAGTATTTTCTTCTTTTCAAAAATACATTTACACACACATAAAGTTTAAATTGTGTATATGTATTAAGGTCTGTTCAATCTTTGGATTTCGTTCCAGCACATACTCTTTCATTCTTTCTTTCTGTAAGACCTATTCAGAAGATTTTGACATCTATAAAGGGGGAAATGTTTTATAGGCATAACGATGTGTTCCATTTTAATCTTGCTATTGTTGCTAAAAGAAATTTGTTTGTTACATTAAAAATTATCTGTTAGTTTATCTGTATGTGGTCATATAAACTATAAACCAATTTTGTTTCTTACCTCATTATGAGATTATATGTGTCTTATTAGGTCACCAAACGTGATGAAGACTCTTCTTTGATGCAGCTGAAAGAAGAATTTAGAACCTATGAAGCTCTGCGGCGAGAACATGACTCCCAGATAGTGCAGATTGCGATGGAAGCAGGCTTACGAATTGCACCAGACCAATGGTCCTCTTTGCTTTATGGAGACCAGTCTCACAAATCTCATATGCAGTCCATTATTGACAAGGTAGACCCTTTTTTGTTTCTTACTTCTCTGACTAATCTTGGAGTCTTGGTAATTGATTTGTTGGACAAATGTATATTAAAATGATCACTGTATGTCAGGCTCTTGTAAATTATATTTTCTGTAGCCGAGTGTCCTGTTGTAACTAGTCACATCATAATACCAGTTTGTTTATATAAAGATTTTTTAAATTGAGGTATAACTGACATTGTTCATATAAGATTTGACTAGTGTTATAATGTTTTATCCAGCACTCTCTCACATTCCTTTGAGAGTCTCACATCTCTATTTCTATTTCTTCTATCATTACCTCTCTCCCTTCTTTTATTGTTCTCTGAGTTTTGATCATTGTGTTAGTTAAACCCATTTTCTAAATGCCTTTATTGCCTTCCTGTAGCAGCCATTTAATGGTCTGGAAGATGTATACACTGAGGTTTCTTATGATTCTCAACCAGAATAATTTCACATAAGTTACCATTCATTCTAAGTTTGATCAGCCTTTCAGTAAACTTATTTCTACTTTTATCTATTTTTTGTTATGATAAAAAGATCACTAGGGTACACATGAATTTTAGGTCAGGCTCTATTATTTATTTCTGACTCTAAGAGCTATATTTAATTCTCTTAAAACTGGAGTAATACTATAACTGTTTTTGTTACAGTTCAACATGAAATACATGAAAGTGCTATTAAAAAGTCTTAAAGAGCCATGTAAATATATTATGTTCAATGATAGTATTTAATTTTTACTATTTTACCTTAAATACTTAACAAGCACAGAGATGATTATACATTAGAGTCCACACTACATTTAATTTAGAGAAATAAGATCAAGATGTAAGAATGGCCTAAATGTAATAATATTTAACACTTAGTGAGACCTTACTGTGTGTCTGGTGGTTTTAAATAATTCATTTAATCCTCTCAACACCCCTATATTATCCTTTTATAGAGAGAGAGACAGAGGTTAAGTGTGTTTCTCCGGGATCACAGAGGTAATAAGTGACAGAGCTGTATTTGAACTTGGGCATTTGACACTGGAATCCATGTTCTTAACCACTAAACCTCTTTCCATACTGTTCTGTCCCTCTTTTTTTTTTTTTTTGCTATTCCCAAAGATAGAATTCTTTGAATAAGTAGTAGATTAATGTCAAAGGATAAGTGGGAAATGTGTTTTATAGCAGCTTGGTGCATAATTTTCAGTATAATGTGTGTTATTTGTTCTGTCCTATAAGTCTTCCCTAGATACCTTAAACCAAACTTTACCTACAATTCCTGGGTCTGAAATTATGCAACCGATTGGTTATAATGTATTGAAACCTTAGTAATGATCTCTTAAAGGAGTAGCTTTCTCCCTCTGAAGAGAAACTTGGCTTGCTTTTATAAAAGGTTCTACAAGGAGGTTCACCTTCTTGTCTGAACTAGACTATATAACTAGGTGTTTATGCTGTAATAATTTTCTCACATCATGAGCAATAATTTGAATTTACTATCCAGAGACTTTCATGCAACAAACTGGTAAACAAACTTTGCCGTGTATGTGACATCTTCTTATTATATACACCAATAGAACTGTCTGTGATAATGGAATGTTCTGTATATGCACTGTCCAATATGGTGATCACTAGCCACACATGGCTATTCAGCACCTGAAGTGTGACTTGTGCAACTGATGAACTAAAATTTTTATTTTATTTAACTGATTTAAATTTAAATAGCCACGTGTTGCTAGTGGCTAGCATAGCCTAGTAAACTAATAGATAAAGAAACATAAATTAATAGTTCACAAAGAGGAAATATATCTAATTGATGGGATAGAATTAGGTCCCAATAATAATTAAATACACATTTAAAACAGTGACATACCAAATATTGCTTGTTAAATTAGTAAAAAAATATACTCTCATATATTGCTGATGGTTTGTTAAATGCATTACAAATCTTTCAGGAAGCAATTTGTCAGTGAATAAAAACTCAAAATATTCATGTCCTTTGACCAAACTTACTATTCTCAGAAATTTATTTTAAGAAAATGATCCTTAAAATACTTCAAAAAGGTGTTAATTGCAACATTATTTATAAACGAGAAAATACGGGGATGATTACAGAAGTTAAGATCTCTGTACTCAGAGCACTGTTTTATGGCCATTAAAATTATAGTTATATCAGGACAGATACTCTCTTCAGCTAATAAATTTCATTTAATTTAAAAAAAATGTTAGATATTCTTATTAAGTCTTGGTGGTGGATACGTGGATATTGTCATTATATTAGTTACTTTTTTTGGTAATATTTCATAGTAAAATTGGTTAGCAATAAAAAAAATGCTTTTGTTATAATATTAATGGTAGCCAAAATCATAAGTTTATAAATGGCTGATTGTAAGAATGTTAAAAACATGCAAAGATGAAAAAATTGAATAAAAGAATGTCACCATTCTGATGATAGTTGTGTTATTTTCCTTTTTTTTTTAAATGTATGCTTTTTTTTTTTAAATTACCTTTTCTTTTATAGAAGGTCCTTTTGGGGGAGAAAAATTCTCATCCATATTAATAAACTACATAGAGAGCTAAATGTTTCCAAGTAAGAACCCTTAGTTACTATCACATAATCAATTTTTTTCCCTATTAAAGGTCATGTGTATGGCCAACTTAGGGAGTTAATGCAAGAATGTGTGTCATTAAGCCTTAGGAAAATACACAACCTGATAGCTTTGTTTTTTTTTTTTTGTGAGGAAAGTCAGCCCTGTGCTAACATCTGCCAATCCTCCTCTTTTTTGCTGAGGAAGACTGGCCCTGGGCTAACATCTGTGCCCATCTTCCTCCACTTTATATGGGACGCCGCCACAGCATGGCTTGCCAAGCAGTGCGTCAGTGCGTGCCCGGGATCCGAACCGGCGAACCCCGGGCCGCTGCAGTGGAGCGCGCGCACTTAACCGCTTGTGCCGCCGGGCCAGCCCCAACCTGATAGCTTCTAAGAATCCGAAACCAATTAAGGATTTCTTTGAGCTAGAATGGTCTTTTGAAATTATTTAGTCCATATAACAGGTGCTATTGTATATTAGCAAGAACATAATCTCTAGACTGTATTTCCAAATTCCAGTTGTTTGGAAGGAGCCCAAGAGCCAAACTAACATAATGTTGTAAGAACATAAGATGGAAAAAATACTTCCAAATTGAGGAATTGAGAAAGGCTCACATTTGAGGACTGTGACAGCAGAGGTGAGAGAGTATACCATATGCCAAGCTGTGGATACAGAGAAGTGTGGGGTTTGTTCACGTAGCAGGCAATCCAGTGTGGCCAAAGTGTGGGATGTGTGGGAGGATAAAAATTAAATTTAATAAATTGCAGAAATGATTGTGATATTGTAAATAATCTTTATTTAAAAAGGATTATCTGGCCTTTGGGAAAGTTAATGTTTATCTTTTTTAAGTTACAGACCCCAGCCTCTTTTGCACAAAGTGTTCAGGAACTAACAATTGCTCTCCAGCGGACTGGCGATCCAGCAAACTTGAACCGCCTAAGACCCCATTTGGAGCTATTAGCAAACATCGACCCTAGTCCAGGTAAATCCAGGGGAAATTAATGGACTATCCTGTGTGCCTCAGTGCTGCTCAGTGATTCTTTTAATCATCTTTTGTTGCATTACTCTAGAATTTCTCAGAATAGTTATTCTAGATCTTTTCTACAGTATTTAAGTTTCTGGCCCCAATCTTGTCCATCTGTCTCTTTATTACTTCAATTAATATTTATTTAATACTTTTTACTGTACTGCTCACTTCACCAGGAAAATAGATTCTCTCTGGGATCCTTTATGTTTTCTCTTTCTCTCATCACAAAACTGTGCTGTATTTTACCATTCTCATCTCTTTTGACAAGACTCAAGTTTTCTCATTTTTTTCTGTATCATATGTCCTTAGTTGCATTTTCTTGGCCCTGTTTTTTTCTTTCTCTACCTTATCTCATTCCATCAAGTATCCTCTCTTGCATCTTTACTTTGTCAGCCCTTTTCGTGCTCCTTCTCCTTGACTTGAAAATCACCCAGCCTTCTATTTCTCACATAATAATACTTACATCTAAGATGTTTTAGCTTGTATCCTATTGCTGTCCCTGTGTTTATTACTACTACTGAACTAAGACTCTCAACATTCACTAGTAATTTCCCAGTTTCTAATTTCAAAGGCTTCTTCTCAGTCCTTAAATTACCTGATTTGTCTTCAGCATTTGATAATGATCCTGACCGCTTCATTGATGTAGAAACTCTCTCAATACCTTATCTTTTTGTAGTCTCATGGTTCTCTTTTAACCTGCCTGAATGCTGCTTCTGTCTTGTTTTGACAACTCTTTCCTCTCCTGCCCACTAGAGAGTAGGCTGGTGTGTGCTTGGAATTTTGTTTTCTCTGTACTCTCTGTTGATGGTGGTCATTCATTCCCAGCATCAGATATTATCTCTTTATAGATAATAGACTCCCAAATATCTCTATCACTATATCTCTTCATTACTCCAGCCCCAATTTCCCAAATGCTTTCTGAGATTCTCCATCATCTCTCTCTGTGTTTCAAAGCAAACTCATCTTCACTTGATGCCTGCTCTTCCTCCTGTGTTCTGTCTCTGTGTAAATGACCTCATCCTCTGAGGTATGTAAGCTTAAAACCTAAGTCTTGTGTCTCATCTCATATCTTTTCCCCTTGCACTTGCTCTACATACCATTTCAGACAACAGGAGCTCTCTGTTCTTCTTTCACAATATGCCTGTATCCCATGCCTATTCATACTGCCTTAGTGAGGGCCTCATTCCTTTTCCTGAGACTAAATGCCTTCCATTTTCCTCTACTCTTTTAATTCTTCCAATCCAGTCTACTTACTGCTGCAAAATAAATCACATCTCTGATCTTATGTCTACATTCATAAACTTTCAGTGACACCCCATTGCTTATAGAGTAAAGTTTGGAATTCGTGACTGTGGCATTCAGAGCCCTCTAATTTCTTATCAGTCTACCTTTGTAGGCGTACTACCAAAATTACTTAATCAAACCAGATCAGATCTATTCCTATAACACAGTGATTTTTTTTCACTTCTGTGCTTTAATCATTCTGCGCAATCAAAAGATTGCTCACCACCGCATCAACCACCAACTTATCTTCCTGCATCAGTGCCAATATATTCTGCTCTACTTGTGTCCTAACAATGGATAAACTATACTCCTAGCTAAAGCCACCCTCTCTCCTCATGTACTAATATCATCTTAAGTATATCCCTTCCATATCCTGTTTCTTATCAGTTTTCCTTCTTTACTAGAGTATTTCTAACAACATACAAAACGTACTATTATTCCTCTCATAACACACTTTTGACACCATTTGCCATGCATCTCTCACTCCATTTCTCTCCTTTTTATAGCATTCTCTTGAACTCACTTCAATCAGGCATTTGTCTCTACCACTCAATCAAAACCGCTTTTGACAAAGTCACAAATGACTTTGTATTTGACCTGCTGGCAGCATTTAAGATTGTTGTTTACTCTCTACTCCTTGTAACACTTTTTCTTCACTTGGCTTCCAGGCCATCACACACTCCTAGTTTCCTTCCTTCTTTATTGGACCCTCCTTCTAAGGCCTCCTTTGCTGATTTCTCCTTATCTCCAATGCCTCTAACCTTTTTTTTTTTTTCCTCCATAGCCTCTAACCTTTGGAATGCTCCCAGAGTTTAATCCTTTTATCTCTTCACTTTTCTCTCTATACCCATTCCCTAGATAATCTCATCTAGTCTCATGGCTTTAAACAGTATTTATTTGACTCACAAAGTTACTATATTTCATCAGTCCTGAAGTTCACATCTTTTTCAGATCTTAGCATTTCTGAGATTGGGGTGCATTTGTACAATCAGCGGTATGATAATTTAATTAGCAGTCTTTTTTCTGTTTCCGTGGCACATAATGGTATGTGTTATGATTGATGGTATGTTTTAGAATCTGTGAAATATAGGATATCTAGCCCAGACTTTCTTCTTGAATTCTTTTGTATATCTACCTGTCTGCTCAATATCCAATAGCTCTAATTGAATATCTGATAATAATTTCAAACTTAATCTGTTCAAAAGTGAGTTCCAAACCACCCCCCACACACCCATTCCTGTTAGTGGCAGCTCCATCCTTCCATTTCCTTAGTCCAAACACCTTGGAGATATCCTCAGCTCTTCTTTCGCATATAAGGCACATATGATTTATCAGCATGTCTTGTAGGCCCTACCTTTAAAGTCCATCTGGAATCTCTACTTATCACCTTCACTGCTACCACCCTCGTCTCTCTCTATGGATTGTGGAATAACCTCCTATTTTCTGTCTGGTTTCAGCATAGGAGCTAGAGTGATCCTGTTACCCCTCTGCTCAAAAATTCTCCAGTGCTTTCCATTACTCAGTAAAAGCCAAAACCTTTTCCATGACTTGCTGGGCCTCACATGATCTGGTCTTCCTTTACCTCTCTCCAGCCTCGTCTCCTACTCTTTTTCCACCTAATTCATTCCTCTCCTGTTTCATCACATGGAACATGCCAGGTACACTCCCACATCAGAGCCTTTGCACTTACTCTTCCCTCTTCCTAGAAATGTTTTTCTTCTAATATATCCACAAGGCACACTATCAGACCCTTTTTTCAGGTCTTTAATCAAATGTAACCTTCTCAAGGAGGCCTTCTCAGGTTACCCTGTCTAAAATTTTACACATACTTTCCCACTCCCTTTTTTGCTCTATTTATTCTACTCATCATTATCTAAATACTTTGTATTTTGATTATTTATCTTATTTATTGTCTGGCTCCTCTCCTTGAATGTAACAGGGATATCTGTTTTGATTGCTACTGCTTCTGCAGCAACTAGAAACAATACCTGGGACTTAATAGGTGTTGCAAAAAATACTTTTTTGTATGACTGTTCTCTTCACCTTCTCTGCCTCTTCCTCCTTTTTCCCTGTGGAAATTCCACGTGTCCTTCAAAGCCTAGTTCAAATGCCATCACCTAGAAGTCCTTCAGAGTGTCTCCAACAGGAAGTCATCTCTACATCTGTGTTCTCACTTCATTTTATATTTCTTTTAGAGAATATTTTGTATTTAGCCTTATGGTTAATTTTTCCTTTATAAAATCACAGTGCTGGCACTAGACAAATACTTATTAAACGAAGAGGAGGATGTATACCAGAGTTGCTTTATATAATAGTTCTTTTATTATACTTTTTAAGCATTCAGTTTACCAATACTTGATTTATACAAAATTTCAAAATAGACGTTACAATTTGGCTGACTGTAGGCAGTCCACAGTTAAGTTGTGTTTGGCCCACATAGTGTTGGTCTGCACAATATTCTAAATTTTTTAGGTACCAACACTCAAAAACTGGATAATTTTATGTAAGAATCTCAAATTTCAACTTTCGCTGGTATATCTTTCCACCAGCTTTCCCTGGTGGTATATCTGGTAGTGCCAGCTTTGCATCTTCACATAACAACAATCAGCTAAAGTTGAATTGTAGCCATAACCTTAGGCGTGAGACATACTTGGCAGTTCAGCATAGTCCCTGTCACTCTGTATTGTCATTTCCAATACTAAGGGTCTAATGGCAATAAATTGCCATTTATTATCTGGCCTACTTAATTCCTTTATATTACCTTCTCTGTCCCTGTAGTTATTCTAGTTTGCAACCCCAGCTTTAAATGAATATATCCATTCCTTTAAAATGATGTTTAGGTGAATAAGCTATCACCTGAGAAGCTGTATGAACTTTAACTTGATTTCACTAAAGTGCTGACACTAAATTCTTTATTAATTTAATACTGGGCAAAACATTGAATAACATAGTTTAAAAAATTTTTTTATTTGTTGTGTAGATGCTCCTCCTCCTACTTGGGAACAGCTAGAAAATGGGCTGGTTGCTGTGCGTACAGTGGTACATGGGCTGGTTGATTATATCCAGAACCACAGCAAAAAAGGAGCAGATCAACAGCAGGTAAGGGAGATGTTGGAAACTTAGAAGTAAGCTACTGTGGGTATTCTTACAGCCACAAGCAAAGCCAACAAGATGACATGAATATTTTGAGACTCTGACTGTAGAAACTATAAATTAGTTTAGCATGGTTAGCTGCCAGTTTACTGGATTAGCCTAGTAATTTTATCTGACATTGAAATTAAATAATCCTTGTTGGTCTAATATTGTGCTAGAATCATTTGTCACGTCGGATATAGCAGCATTTGGTTCTGTGCTAAAGGTTATTTCATTTAAATAAAATTATTCTATTTGGTTACTATTACATTTCAGTTTGACAGTAGGTGTTACTTTCCAGACTAATGCTATCTCTCTCCAATACTGTTCACGTATATGTAAATGCTTCTTCTGTATTAGTAGTTTAACATTTTTCATTTATAATGTTTGTTATGCCAGTGAACCAAATTTTCCTCAAATATTTTTATTTATTTTTTTGTGAGGAGATCAGCCCTGTGCTAACATCTGCCAGTCCTCCTCTTTTTTTTTTTTTGGCTGAGGAAGACTGACCCTGGGCTAACATCCGTGCCCATCTTCCTCCACTTTATATGGGACACCCCCACAGCATGGCTTGCCAAGCAGTGTGTCGGTGCGCGCCTGGGATCGGAACCAGCCGACCCCGGGCCGCCGCAGCGGAGTGCTTGCACTTAACTGCTTGCGCCACTGGGCCTGCCCCCTCAAATATTTTTAAATGAAATATATGGCAGTAAAATAGAATAGCTTTAACCTAGACTTTTTCATTTTGCTCCCAATAATTTTATTTTACCCTCAAGATTTATGTTAGTTTCACTAGCTGTTGTATTTTGCAGTAGTAAGCTTGAGAAATTGAAACTTTGTTAATATTGTTATTAATTTATCTGGCTCAAGTAAATATTAATTGATTATTCAATATTCCTTTTATCTTTGAGAGGCAAGAAATATTAAAAACGTCCTGCTGGGGCTGGCCCGGTGGCACAAGCGGTTCAGTGCGCGCACTCTGCTGTGGCGGCCTGGGGTTCACTGGTTTGGATCCCGGGCGCACGCCAACTCACCACTTGTCAAGTCATGCTGTGGCAGCGTCCCACATAAAGTAGAGGAAGATGGGCATGGATGTTAGCCCAGGGCCAGTCTCCCTCAGCAAAAAAAAGAGGAGGATTGGCAGTTGTTAGCTCAGGGCTGATCTTCCTCACAAAAAAAAAAAAATGTCCTGCTAAGTAGAATAATACTGATAAGATTTTCCTAATCAATCTAAGCACAGATCAGAGCTTTATTTTATAGTTAAGAAATTAAAAACCTATTTTTAACTCCCTCTTCCATTAGACATCATGAAGAATGTAACAAAAATATTAACCTTTAAGTTCTGCCAATAAGTGAAAAAATACATTAAATTTAATTTAGCTTAATATTGTTTGATATCTCATTAACTCCCGAATCTGTCCTCCTGCCTTATCCCTGAGTTGTAAATAATAAGTTTCATTTGTACCTTTGGAGATATTTTAAGTCCTTGATATATTCTTTTGCATGTCAAGAATTGGTTACAGAATATTCTTCAGTTAAAGGGCCTATTGTAGCTTTGTGGTATGTTATAAGGAAACATAATTATAAGTATAGCTGTACTGAACATTGTCCAAAACAAATATTAGAAGACAGTTTAAACATTTGGAAGTCCTGAACCCCAGTGGTTTGTCCATTGTAAAATCTAGAAAGAAGATCATACAGCCTAGAGGAAGATGGGCACAAATGTTAGCTCAGGGACAGTCTTCCTCACCAAAAAAAAAAGAAGAAGAATTTATATAGTACTCATGTTTGAGAATTAATACCAACATATCAGAAAAATCAGGACTAAATTGTTTTTAATTAATTTATTTTTGGATTCTCTGAGACTTTGGACGGGGTGACTTTCCAGCACTTTGCTCTGGGCAGTCTGGATAAGTGTGTGAATTAGTCTGAATTATTCATCTAGATTATGAAGATTCTAAAATGGCAAATAAGATTTACATCTTTTTTTTTAATATCTAATGTTTTAATTTTGGTTTTAGCCTCCACAGCATAGCAAATACAAAACATACATGTGTCGAGATATGAAGCAGAGAGGAGGATGCCCTCGTGGAGCCAGCTGTACATTTGCACACTCACAAGAGGAACTGGAAAAGTAAGTGTGAAAGTTATTAGACTCAGCCTTCTAATAGCTTGTTATAGAATAAGGTAGAATTATTAAGTAGAATAATTTGCTGCCATTGAGAAATACAGAAGGAGTAGTTGCATTCTCTTTAATGAACAGGAAATGTTTAGAAAGTTATACAGAATTTTACAAAGAAAACTGAAGCAGTTTCTTCAGCTTTCATTACATTGTGCCTACAAATAGGAAACTCTTTGTGGTTAACTAAATCTAGAAGTGAGTCATTTTCACTACCCCCAAAGAATTAAAATTCTAAGGATTTTCATTGATTTTAACTAATTGAATAATACATTTCCAATGGAAAAATTTGCCCTTTGTTCTATTCAAGAAATTATTTTATTGCCAGGCTCAATTTCACAGATTCTTTCAAATTCCAAGGACCAGATAATTCCAATGATGTTAAATTTTCCAGCACATAGTAGAAAGAAAGGAAAACCTCTTAATTTTTTTTTTATAAAGCCAGTGTGATGCTAACACTAAATTTTAAAATAGACACCAGGAGTAAGTGCAAAGGTAGCAAAATATAATTACTACAGGTTAGAGAGGAAATACCATGTGATCATATTCAAAGGTGCCAGAAGGCATTTTAATAAAATCCAACATCCACAATAGATTAAAATCCTTTAATAGAACAAAAATATCACAGATACTTTCTCAATATGATAATTATATCTCAGATCAAAAGCCAGCATGATAGCCTGATGCTTAATTAGTAAAATATTAGATTCAGTTTCATTAAAGTCAAGGCAAAATTTTCTACTAGTAAGACTGTTATGTAACATTCTGGTTGCTAATGTATGTAAACAAGAGAATAAAATAGCCATAAAATCATTACATGGAAAAACTCAAGAGAAGTACTAGACATAAAAGAAATGAGAATTTAGTAATGTGGCAAATCAAAAAATTAGTTTACAACAGTGAATTTCTGTCATATAAACTAAAAAGGAAAACATAACCAGTTAAAAAGTAAAGTGACATTAAAGATCTCTTTCACATTAGCAACCACAAGAAAAAAGAGAAATACCAAATAATAATCTAATAAGAAATATTCAAGACCTATATGAATTGTGTTAATAGACTACCTAGGAACATAAGAGAAGAAGTAAAGAAATGAAGAAACATACTATTATCTTGGATAAAACTTGACCTTATAAAGGTTTTATTTTCTCTTAAATAGTAAATTCAGTGAAATCCCAGTTAGAATCTTAACATGATGATTATTGGGACTTAACAAAATCATTCATTTGGAATAATAAATACGTGAAAATACCCAGGAAAATTCTGAAAAAAGAAATCTTCAACAGAGACTAGGCTAATAACTGTTAACCAGTATTATGAGCTAAAGTGAAGATAAAAGACTGTGGTATCAGCATAGGAATACGTAGATCAGTGCAGTACTATAGAAAATCTAGGAAGAGTTCCAGATACATATGGGAACTTAGCATATGTGCTAAAAGTAGCATTTCACATCAATAACAAAAAAGATGATGATGAAACAACTGCTATTCATTTGAAAAATAATTAGCTGGATTTGTACCTTTCCACCAAAATGAATTATAAATGTATCAGATTTAAATATTTAAAAAGGAAACGACAGAGCACTTAAAGATTTTTGTTGTTGTTGTTGTTACATAATCTTCTAGTAGGAAATAGTGGTTTTTTGTTGTTTTGTTTTTGGGGTTTTTTTGGTGAGAAAGATTGGCCCTGAGCTAATATCTGTTGCCAGTCTTCCTCTATTTTTGGTATATGGGATGCCGTCACAGCATGGCTTGATGAGCGATGTGTAGGTCCGTGCCTGGGGTCCAAACCTGTGAACCCCAGGCCGCTGAAGCAGAGTGCACGAACTTAACCACTATGCCACCGGCCCGGCCCTGGAAATGCTTTTTTTTAAGAGTGACAACCCAGCATCTGTAAAGGAGAAGATTGATAAATTTGATTACATAAAAATTTAAAACTAAGATATGGCCCAAACACCACAGTTAAAAAAAGAGAGATTGGTGGGGAAATGACATATAGAGGGCTGATGTTCCTAACATAGAATGAGCCACTACAAATCTGTAAGAAAGAGAAGAACCAGTAGATATGTGGATCATGAACATAAATAGGCAATTCACAGAAGAAATACTAATAGCCAGTAAACATGTGAAACTATGTTCAGCTTCACTAATTGTTAAAGAAATGCAAATTAAAACAAAACCTGATATTTTTGAACTGTCAAATTAACAAAGACTGATAGTACCCAGTGTTTGATGAGCTACTGAAAAAGACGTTTCTTTTATAATCAATGGAAGTTATAACAGTTTTGGAGCATTATAACAATTTCTAATGTGCATACATTAGACTTAGCAATTCTGCTTCTGCTTACTCACAGAAGGGTGTAAGTACGAGTGCATAGTTACCTGTTACTGCATTGTTTTAATAGCAAAAAATTAGAAACAATCTAAAATGTACTGACACAAGGGAATATCCCTGATGATGAAGTGGAGAAAAAAATTACTAAGAAGTCATATATGACCCTATTTCTGTAAATAATAATCTTACATACATATAAATATTAAGCCATAGTATGGAGGGAAAAATCTGTATACTTATACGCCAAATTGTTAACAGTAGTTACTTCTGATGGATAGTTTTCTTCTCCCTAGAAATTGGTCAAATATGGGAAACATTTGGAAAAATAGCGTTACTCTTAAAGGGGTTTGTCTTTGAAATTATTTTTTTAAATGCACTAACAGTTGCAAATAGATTTGCTTTCCTTATTGAGGAACATAGGGTACGAGAGTCTGATGGCTTAATTTTTTTCCTGTGGTTAGATTTAGAATCTACATGCCTTTTATATACCACAGTGTCTGCTTAAATTTAAGCATTATTCTATATTACTTACATTAACCCACTTTTAAAATGATTTCAATTTTCTGTAGGCACACATAGCATCAGCGTCTCTGAATCAGGTCTGATAAAAATTACTATTCTTGATTATTTAAAATTTTTAGTGGAATAAATGGTCAGTTCTTTTCAGTGCACACTGGCTTTTTGTTTTATTCTTAATTTATAATGTAGGCTCACTGCCCAAGGTATTTGAGGGGAAGCTAAAGTAAAATATTTCAGAAACTTGCTAAAGATTTTTCTACCCCTGCCTCTGATAAGTTTTAGAAATAGAAATTTCAACAAAAGTAAGTTATAGTAGAAATATTAATTAGCATGATTTGTAATGTTACAAATACAGTCGGCCCTCCATAACCAGGGGCTCCACATCCATGGATTCAACCAACCTCAGATTGAAAGGCCTATGATGGTTGCTTCTATATTGAACATATGTAGACTTTTTTTTTTTGTCATTATTCCCTAAACTATACAGTATAACAACTATTTACATAGTATTTACATTGTATTAGGTATTATGAGTAATCTAGAGATGATTTAAAGCATATGGGAAGAATGCTTAGGTTATATGCAAATACTATGCCATTTTATATAAGGGACGTGAACGTCCTAGGATTTTGGTATCCGTGGGGGCCCTGGAACAAATATCCTGTGGATACCGAGGGATGACTTTACTCATTATGAGGAATTTTATACTTAATCAGTGTGTCTTGCTTGAGATTTTATAGAATACATATACATATATATCCACACACACAAGTTTTTAAGTTGGTAGCTAGAGCTAATGATTTCAGGAGAATTTCTAGAAAATATTGTGCTTGGAATCTTTTCCTTCTGTATCTATTTCTTAAATAGATTCTAGTTCTTGTTTTGCTTTTGTAATTTTTGTTTTTGGTCTGTGTCTTTGCTTTTTACATAGATTTCGTAAAATGAACAAACGCCTGGTGCCCAGAAGACCCCTGAGTGCTTCTTTGGGTCAGCTTAATGAGGTGGGCCTGCCTTCAGCAGCTATTCTTCCAGATGAAGGTGCAGTGGATCTGCCTGGCAGAAAACCCCCTGCTCTGCCAAATGGAATTGTGTCAGCAGGGAATACAGCACAGCTGATTCCACGAGGGACAGATCCCAGCTATGATTCTAGTCTGAAACCAGGAAAGATAGATCATCTGAGCAGTAGTGCTCCTGGATCCCCTCCTGACCTGTATGTTGTTTTTCCTAACTTTTACTTAAAGTTTCATCTTTATAAACAAAGTAGGAAGAAAGGATAATCAATGTTTTGTTTTTTAAAAAAACTCATTTAGGGGGCTTTATATTGTTGTTTTTTGTATCTGTTTTGTGTGCTAGTGATTTTTAAAAAACAATTAGCATAGGTGAAATACGATCAAAGTTTGCAAATTTTGCAGAAGGAGAGACTATTGGAAGAAATCAGTTTCCCAAATTGTGGCAATTTCTTTTTTTACATTTAACAATTTGTGTACATTAGATGTATTTTTGAGACGTTAAACTTGACTTGCAGAATCTTATTCCCATTAGGCTAGAATCTGTCCCTAAAAGTATATCTGCCTTACCTGTGAATCCACATCCTGTACCTCCAAGGGGGCCAACAGACCTGCCTCCATTGCCTGTCACCAAACCACTTCAGATGGTACCACGAGGTTCTCAGTTATATCCAGCGCAACAGGCAGATGTTTATTATCAGGATCCTCGAGGAGCTGCTCCACCATTTGAACCAGCACCTTATCAGCAGGGTAATGATCTTTCATTTATGTCACTCACTTTTTTTAGGAGTTATGAGAACTGTTCCAAGTAAGAGGGATCATTTTTGCAGTAGCCTCCTTAAGATAAATAAATGCGTTTTTAATACTTTGAGAAAAACTTGAGATTTTATGAGCAACTAAACAGTATGAAATAAATGAAGTAGCAAAGCTATCTTTGTAGCCTCTTACCCTAACTTCTAAAAGCAGTTGTATATTAAATATGTTCATATATTTATAGAAATAACAAGTCACCCAAGTAGATAATGGCAGTTTGCTAAGGCAGTATATATTTTCCTGACCAAAATTTTCTTCAAGCATGAAAAGAGAATTTAATATTACAGTGGGTATAAATTAAACACACACTACATTTTTTTTCCTTTCAGTTATCACCTAATATTTTTCTGGTCCCTGTAATATATATGAAAAAAATGCAGCCTACATACTTTTAGAGTTTATAGTGTAGAATTAATATTAGTAACGAATAGAAAACTGTGTGTGAGAGTATGTATATGTGTGTGTATGTATATGTGTGTTAAAAATTAAGTGTTCGGTAATGGTGGTTAATATTAGTGTGGTGGAAATCAGCTGCAAGACTCAAGGGAGATCACTGAGAACTTGAGGAATCAAAAAGACTTCATGGAAGAATGTCCTAAATAGAGGTATTGGGAATAGAAAGGAAAATTTACAAACGGGTTGCAAAGAGAGTCTAGAGTCAAGAAGGAGTAAGGAGACTGTTGTTAATCCAGGTGTGCATGTTGAGGCCTGGATTACTATGGTGGGAAAGAAGGGATTTTAGAAAATAGACAAATTTGGAAAATTAGCCAGTTTTAATGATAATACTAGGTATGGAGAATGAAAGAAAGATGACTGAGGTTTCATGTATACAATTCATATGAAAAAAATAAAACACTAATTTTTATAGTTTTATTTATTTATTTTTACCCCCAAAGCCCCAGCAGATAGTTGTAGGTCATAGCTGCACATCATTCTAGTTGCTGTATGTGGGACGCGGCCTCAGCATGGCCGGAGAAGCGGTGCGTCGGTGCGCGCCCGGGATCGAACCCTGGCCGCCAGCAGCAGAGCACGCGCACTTAACTGCTAAGCCACGGGGCCGGTCCTAAAACACTAATTTTTAAACTAAAGTGTTGGATCTCTCTGTCAGAGACAGTATAGTGCCATTCTTTTTAAACTGGGACAGATTAAGGGTATTGTTCATTTCCTTTTTCCAAGGCTGTCTTAATTTTGAATCAGAAATGTCTTTTCTACTTTCAAAAGAATAGTTTTAAATTGGTGTGGCATCATTAATAATGTAAAAATATGATAAAAGTTGATTTGTATCTTCCTTTTGACCATCCATGGCAGGAAAAACCCAACTGCTTTTGTTGAGGTGACCTTAAATACACTGTATCAGTCAGGGTTCCGTTGCAGACAACAGAAATCATTCTAGCAGTATTAAGCAGAAAGAGGTTTAATGCAGGGAATTTAAGTGCCTACAAAATCAGTGGAAGTACTGGAAAGGCAGGCTTAAGCTAGGCCTGCAGGAATAAGTCCCAGAACTAGCTGCTGAGAGAACCTGTTACAGTGAAGAAGCAGTAGAAATAGGAAACTTCTGTCCTAACTGCTGCCTCCAGGATCACATCACTGGAGGCCAAAGTCTGGATTGGGAAGCTCCTGCTACGATTGTTGTCTCAAGAACTCTAGAGCTATGCAATAGCTACTAGATCTGCACCAGCAGAGTGGATCTTTTGTGTGCCACATCCCTTTCCAGTTAATTCAATTTCACATTCAAAATATATGCAAGTGAGTGATTTGTGGAATCTGAGCTTCAGAGAAATGTAGTTTTTTGCTTTCCATTGTTTGCATTGCATTAAGGCACACCAGAAAGGTGGTCAAACAATTGAGAGGGCCAATCTACTATTGTAGATTATCAATAGATTAGTTTTTTCAGTGAGTTAAGGATAATTTTTGCTCCTTATTTTTCATAGAGCTAACCTGACTACATAAGCAGAGGGGAAAACATCTAAAGAAATGAGCAGATTGTTAATTCTTTAGTGTTGAACTATTTTAAAAGGAAAACTCTTATATAGAAAAATAGATTGGCTTATTGTTGCTTTTGGTTCTTCTTTTGTCTTGTACAGGTATGTACTATACTCCACCCCCACAGTGTGTGTCCCGCTTTGTCAGACCTCCACCATCTGCTCCTGAACCAGGTCCTCCCTACTTGGATCATTATCCACCCTACCTCCAAGATCGTGTAGTAAACTCTCAATATGGCACACAGCCACAACAGTACCCGCCTATGTACCCACCACACTATGATGGCCGTCGAGTATACTCAGCTCAGTCTTATACGAGAGAAGAGATTTTCCGAGAAAGTCCTATACCCATTGAAATTCCACCTGCAGCAGTACCATCCTATGTACCAGAATCCAGAGAAAGATACCCACAGATGGAGGGTTACTATCCAGTGGCTCCTCATCCAACTCAGATCAGACCTTCGTACATCAGAGTATGCTGTATTTTTTTCTTAATATGTAGATTTAATTTGATTATTGCTTGCAGTGATTTTTTTTTTTTTAATTTTTTTTTTCCCCCAAAGCCCCAGTAGATAGTTGTATGTCATAGATGCACATCCTTCTAGTTGCTGTATGTGGGACGCGGCCTCAGCATGGCCGGAGAAGCGGTGCATCGGTGCGCGCCCGGGATCTGAACCCGGGGCCGCCAGCAGCGGAGCGCACGCACTTAACCGCTAAGCCACGAGGCCGGCCCTGCGGTGATTTTTTTTTACCTTTTTGCCATGGTAATAACTCTTCGATCAATTCTTTTTTATAAGAATGCTTCCTTTTTTTTTTTATCTTTTCATAATTTGGGTAGGTTATTATTTTTTAAATTACACTATTAAAGGGAAAAAAAATTCCCACTCCACTCCCACTAACCCTTCTTAATTGAACTTCAGAAGGTTTTATTAACATTTCTAGGTCTATTTGGAAATTATGGTCTCTGGCTAAGAAAAAGAAACTTAAATTTAGCTTTTTGGGAAATCCTGAGAGGTTTTTGGGGTTTTGTTTTGCTTTGTTTTATTAAGTTTTGATATTTCCAAGTGTTAAGATGAGTATAAAAGCCGCTTCTTACTTAAAATATATGCTAAATGAATTAATGTGTTCTGAAATTCCTTTTCAATTTTTACTAATCTTTGCATTTTCAGGAGCCTCCTTACAGCCGGCTTCCTCCTCCTCCCCAGCCCCATCCTAGTCTAGATGAGCTACATCGCAGACGAAAGGAAATAATGGCCCAATTAGAGGAAAGGAAGGTTATCTCTCCACCTCCTTTTGCACCTTCACCAACATTGCCTCCTGCCTTCCATCAAGAGGAAGTAAGCACATCATTTTTAGTCTCATTTACCAATTTTTTCCTTTGTTGGTGGTTTGTTGTGTCCCATTTAAGTAATCTCTGCCTGTTCGCGAAGTTATGAAAATATTTTCTTATGTTTTCTTCTAAAACGTTTACAATCCATCCAGAATTGACTTTTGTATATAGTATCAGGAGTCAAGATCCATTTTTTTCCTCAAAAGATATCTCATTGATCCAGCACCATTTAATGACAAGACCCTCCTTTCCCCAGTGCCCTGTAGTCTTCTCTATCATAATCAGGTCACGTGTGTCATAGTCAGGCGATTATATATGTTTCTGGACTTGATTCTGTTTCACTGATGTATTTTTCTATCCTGGCACCAACAACATATTCTCTTAGTGTGGTTTTATAATACATCTTAATATGTGGTGATGTAGGTTTTCCAGTTTTGTCTTCTTCAGGATTACCTTTGCTGTTCTTGACTCTTGGAACTTCCAAACACATTTTAGCATCAGCATGTTGATGTCCACAAACGTATCTGCTGCAGTTTTTATTAGGCTTACGTTGACTCTCTGGATCTGCACTGCCCAGTATGGTAACCACTAGCCACATGTGGTTAGTGAGTGCTTAAAATGTGGCTAGTCTGAATGCACATGCGCTATAAGCATAGAATATACACTGGATCTGAAGATTTAGTACCCCCAAAAAGTAAAATATTTGATTAATATATTTCTACTAAATACATGTTAAAACGATAATACTTTGGATGTATTAGATTAAATAAAATGTATTATTAAAATTAATTTCATCTGTTTCTTTTTATTTTTTTGATTAATTTCACCTGTTTCATTTTATTTTTTTGATGTGGCTACTAGAAATTTTTAAATTACATATGTGGGTCTCATTATATTTCCATTGGACAGTGTTATTTTAGATCCATTTGGGGATAAGTGACATCTTCCCAATATTGAGTCTCCAAGAACATGGTATACTCTCCCCTTACTTGAATCTTCTTTAATTTCTCTCAATAATGTCATATATCATATAGTTTTCAGTGTCCTACATATCTCTCATTAAACTTATTCCTAGATAACTGATGTTTTTTGAAGCTATTTTATTTTATTTTTTGTGTGTGTGTGAGGAAGATCAGCCCTAAGCTGACATCTGCCAGTCCTACTATGTTTGCTGAGGAAGACTGGCCCTGGGCTGACATCCGTGCCCATCCTCCTCCACTTTATATGGGACGCCACCACAGCATGGCTTGACAAGTGGTGTGTCAGTGCGCACCCAGGATCCGAACCGGCAAACCCCGGGCCACCGCAGTGGAGCACGCGCACTTAACCGCTTGCACCACCGGGCCAGCCCCTGAAGCTATTTTAAATGGAATCCTTTTTGAAATTTCATTTTCTCTTTGTTGTTAATATAGAGAAATTAAGTAGATTAATGCATATTGATCCTTACGTTCAGCGGCCTCGATAAATTTCCATATTAATTCTAGTATTCGTTAGTGGATTCCTTTGGATTTTCTGTGCACACAGTCATGTCCTCTATGAATAATGACCATTTTACTTTCTCCTTTTCATCCTTATATCTCTTCTTTTTCCTATCTTGTTGTGCTAGCGAGATCCTCCAGTATAATGTTGAAAAAAAGGGATGATGGCAGGTATTCTTGACTTATTTCCAGTCTTTGAGCAAATGGAGCTTTTAATAATTCGCCATTATGATGTTTGCTGTAGGTTTTTTTTGTAGATAATCTTTATCAAATTAATGGAATTCCCTTCTATTCCTAGTTTTAGACTGTTTTTATAAGAGACACGTCAAAAATGTATTTGACTTAATAACGAGGAAAACAGCAGGATGGTAAAATTGATCAAAGAATAGGAGAGACAGGCTAATATAGGTAGTGAAAGGGAGAAAAAAAGAACACTGAAATAAAGTTGCTAGAATAAACTGGTTAACGTACTGCAGTGCAGTAAATCATAATTTTGGGAGTTTTCTTGTATTTCTATAAGACAGTGCTAATAGTTATCATGAATGAGTGTTGTTTTACTATCGTTTTAATGTCTACAGGGTCTGTAGTGGTGTTCACTTTTCCACTTCCAATATTGGTAATAATTTTTTTCTTGGTCAGTCTTGCTAGGGGTTTATCACTTTTGTCTTTTCAAAAAGCCAGCTTTTTGCTTTGTTAATCTTATTTATTTATTTTGGTTTATTGATTGTATGTACTTCCTCAGCTTATAGTGTGCATATAAGTTTTTTTTTTTTTTTAAGTCAAATAGGTTCTCTCTGCAGGGTTGCAACTGATATTGTGTAAGGAAAATGTCTTACATCCTTTATGTGTAGAATTTTGATTCTAAACAACATTGCTATCTGACAAACTGAATAATAAGCAATGAAAATTGAAAAGCGAAGTGCATCACACCACATATAATAAACAGTAACCTTTTGGGTCTATGAAAGTGATCTACCATCTAGCTTTTGTATCTAAACACTTTGGATGATTTTTCCACAATAAACATAACATAGGTTAAATAAGTAAAGTTGTAACATCTTTTATTATTGTAATTTTACTTGTAAAGTACAACATTTTATGATATTTTTTCAAAAACTGTATATTAGAGACATTCTAGAACCTTGTTATGCCATACTATTTTTTAAGAAATATGGAAAGCAATATGACACTGGGAAAAGCGAGCTAATTTTGGAATCAAATTTATCTTTGAGGTTCAGCTGTGACACTCAGTGCGATCTTTTGCAAGTTACTTAGCCTCCCTGAACCCTGAGGCTCAGGTTTCTCCATTTGTAAATCAAGTACAATAATGCCTATCTCACAGAGGTGTGGTGAAGATTAAATAAGACATAAGGCATCTGGCACATAGCAGGCATTCAGGAAATAATACCTATTTGTATTTTTGTGTGTGTGTGTGAGGAAGATTAGCCCTGAGCTAACATCCGTGCCCATCTTCCTCTACTTTATATGGGACACCGCCACAGCATGGCTTGACAAGCAGTGCATCTGTGTGTGCCTGGGATCCAAACCCTGGGCCGCCCCAGCAGAGAGCACGCGCTTAACCACTATGCTACCAGGCCGGCCCCAACTATTTGTATTTTTTATTTTTTTACTTCTAATAAAAATTATAATAATGCCTGGCTATTAAGGAACTTGATCTAGAATTATTTTAGTTTCTGACATACAAATCTATGTATTTAAACTTCAGTTCTGATTGTAAACATCCTACATATAGTTGTACTAAATTCATACATTATAAAAATAGATAACATAGAAAGAGAGAAAGTTCTCCAAAATCCTGTTTTATCACTGTCAGTTTATTATATATTTCACCTTTATATATATATTTCAACTTTTCTGTGCATGAACTAGTATATCATTATTATTTTTTAATAGGATCATTTAGTAGTATATCTTGGGCCAGCCCCGTGGCTTAGCGGTTAAGCGCGTATGCTCCGCTACTGGCGGCCCGGGTTCAGATCCCGGGCGCGCACCGACACACCGCTTCTCCGGCCATGCTGAGGCCGCGTCCCACATACAGCAACTAGAAGGATGTGCAGCTATGACATACAACTATCTACTGGGGCTTTGGGGGAAAAAATAAATAAATAAAAGTTTAAAAAAAGAAAAAGTAGTATATCTTGAGGTTTTGTGTGTGTTTTGTGGGGGTTTTTTGTTTATTTTTTGTTTTTACTTGAACCACTTATTCTGGATGTCTTCCCGTGTCTGTATATAAATTTATCTCATTCTTTTTAACAACTGCATAATACGTCATAGTCAGGGGGGAAAAAAAGCATTCTTTTTAGTAGGTCATGTCTTTAAAAAGCAAGCTGTTCTACGCGAAGTTTGTAAGTGGAGGAGAAATAAAAGAGATGGAATTTTTTAAATAGAGGTAGGACAAAAAAAAGAGGTTATAAACAATAAAAACAGGAGTTGTGGTTGAAAATGATATTTGTGAACAGCAGACCCTGTGTCATTGCAGAAGACCAATAATGATGACTCAGAAAGGAGATTTTTTTAGTATGGGGGAGGCATAGAGCCACTTTTAAATGTACCAGTAGACCCTAGGGTATCAGTATATCAGTATATGTATCTGTGATAAAGTGAAGGCAAGATTAAAGTTCTAGTTCCAGCGCTGCCCTATGCTGATACAGACTTGGTCAGATCTCCTGTGCTGTCTGACATGGACTTGAGGAACATATAAGATAGTGTATATAAAAGCACTTTGAAAACTATAAAATATTACACAAATGTGAATGTTGCGATTTTAGTAAAAATACCTTAGACCTAGAATAGCTATTCTGTTATTATGTAATTTCAGAATTTATCTTGAGAAAATAAAATTAGGCATCTTATCCTTTTCACTTCATTGAATCAACCTAAGGACCAGAATGTATTCAAGACATGAATTATTGCCGTTAAAGAGATTTCGGTAAAAAAGTTATTACGCCATCATGCACTATATAGAACACTTTAAATTACATTCTAAATAGTTTTTAATGTTCTTGTTTACCTGGAATGTTATTGAAAGAAACATTGAGGAGGATCTAGCAAAGCTAGGGCTTGGTACATATTTGTTTAAGTGTTGATTTCATCTGGTGAAGAAGAGGATGAGCAGACCTTCTCAAAAATCCGAGCTTAATTCCTTGAAAGATATTGAGATACTTCTTTTTGACCCTCTGCTAACAAAGTGTAAAGGCTAAACATCATTCTTCACGTTATACATTTTTCATAGTCTACAAAAATCTTATATTGTGACACTTACAAATCAAATAACCATCACTGTGTTGCTTCAGCATGATGTTCAAAGAAATTCCTGCTTTCTCTCTGTTGTTACTCTTAGACCCATTTCCTATTTTGTTTCTCTTTTTTTTCCCCCACGTGCAGTTTTTGGATGAAGACTTGAAGGTAGCTGGGAAATACAAAGGAAATGATTATAGCCAGTACTCTCCCTGGTCATGTGACACCATCGGCTCCTACATTGGAACCAAAGATGCAAAACCCAAAGATGTTGTGGCAGCAGGGAGTGTGGAAATGATGGTATGTGTAATAACTAAGCCATAATTAATACAAGTCAAGATAAACCAAATAAATTATCCCTCAGTATAGTGTAGACACAAATAATTGAGCTTTGCTTAAGAGTTTCAGGCCATATTATATACTATGTGTTTGAATTATATTTAAACTATATAGTTTTTTGTTTCTTTCAGGTAAAAATAAAAATAACTTTTAATACTTATCTAGACGAAGAAGAGCATATATTTCTGTGCAGCCAGCAGTTAACCCAACAACTGTTTAGAACCAAAATTAAATTATTTTGCATAATTAAGATCTTAGATTTCTTGCCCAAATAAAGTATAACTATTTTACAGCTCTGAAGTTTAAACAATAAAGTTGAATCTAGTGAACAATAGTAGTATTTGACTCAGAATTGTAGCTGCTTGGCTTGAAGTTAGCTGTGGTGTACTGAAACATATTAAGCTTATGCTATTTTGTTTTTTAACAAAAAATAATGTAACACCAGTGTATCTAATACTCAAACTTAAAATATCTCACCATTTTATCTTAATTGCTTCTTTATTTTTTAAAGAAATAAAACTTTATAAAAGTAGTTAAATCTTCCTATGTATACCTCTCTAATCTCGTTTTTCTCCCTCCCTCCTTCCTGGAGGTAATCTCTATTCTGAATTGTGAGTTTATCATTTCATGAATCATTTTGTACTATTCCTAAACAATTTTGTTTTGCATGTTTATAGACCTTATATATATTATATACTTCAATTTGCATTTTCATTCAGCATTGTTTTGAGATGTATCCAAATTTCAAATTATGGTACATATCCAAATTATGTACCTATAATTTCATTCATTTTAACTGTTTTTATTAGATACCATTGTATGATAACTGATATCATACAACAAAGATATATGTAAATTAGTATTTATTCATTTTCCTGTTGATGGACATTTAAGCTGATTTTAATCTTCTATTATTATGTATAGTACTATAGAGAACAATCTTGTGTTTGTCTCCTTGTGCACATGCATGAAAGTTATGCTTAGAAAGTTATTGCTGGGTTGAAAGGTATGCCTTGACTATTATTCTTAAACCATTTGCCCTTATTAACTCTAACAGAGGGTCCCTAGGTTATTATACAGGTTTTCATAGACAAATACTTGTCCAGCTGGTTAAGAGAAGACCAATTCTTGGTATTAGAAAAGGAAGACTTGGATGCTAATACCACTATAAATGAGTGAAGTGATATCTATAGCATAAATACCATTAGATGCCAGCCAAAAAAAAAAAGAGGAAGAAAGGGATATAGAGGATGAAAAAGCAAAAATGAACCTTTTGTTTTTCTGTGGTGGGATTAGGGAAACATTGTTTTTACGCCATAGGAAACAGCCTAAGAACAGGAATGAGATGAGGAGGAGATAGAAAGGAACACTTGCTTTGTACCTGGCTTTCAAAAAGGGTTATTAAATTAACATTTAAGGGTTTTTAAATGTTAATTTAAGGGTAATTAAAGTAACATAAATATTAGCAAAATAAAACTCATTTCCTTAAATCAGTAAAGGATAAAAATGTTTGCCAGCCTGACCTAGGTGTAATTGAAAATCTCCCAAATGGGTGTAAGAAGTCTAGCCCAGTATTTCTCAAATATTAATGTGCATATAAATTACCTAGGGGTCTGTTAAAATGCAGGTTCTAATTCAGTAAAACTGGGCTGGGACCTAAGATTCTTCATTTCTAATGAGTTCCCAGATGGTGCTGATGCTGCTGGTCCTTGGACTATACTTTGAATAGCAAGGGTCTAGCGATTAGATTTCCATTTCCATTTATCTCAGTACTTATTTCTTTCTGACTGGAAGCCCTTTGAAAAACCTATGTTGGCACTTACATTTTTAAACAGTGTTTTTGTAACTATTGAGTTCTGAAATTAATTGAGTGCATCATGATGGATCTTTTTTAAAGAAATGAATTTGAATAACATAGAATATAAATACAAGAGTATATTCCATATATTAAGGGTAAATATTTGTCATGAAATTATATATTTGAATGTATACATGTACTGGATCATGATGTAAAATATATTTCTTATTGTGGGGAGTGGTCTAAGGTGTAAAAAGCAGTGTTTTATATGACAGCCAAAGGCAACTAATGATTTTACTCTTACCAGTGAGAACATTGTACTCTTTTTTTAACTTTTTAACAGAGCTAGAATAAATTATGTTAGAGATCTAAGTGTGGGGTGGATTTCTCATTTTACTTTTTATCAGAATGTGGAGAGTAAAGGAATGAGAGACCAGCGATTGGATCTTCAGAGAAGAACAGCAGAAACTAGTGATGATGACCTCATCCCATTTGGAGATCGACCAACAGTATCTCGGTTTGGTGCCATCTCTCGAACTTCCAAAACAATATATCAGGGTGCTGGCCCAATACAGGCTATGGCACCTCAGGGAGCTCCCACAAAACCTATTAACATTTCAGGTAAGAATCTCTGAAGTAAGCTGATCTAGAGGGTTCGTATTCATGATTCCCAGCACCACCCCTACTCCCCATTTACTATCAGTGCTTTCCGTAATCTTCTAAAGCAGTAATCTTCAGACTTTTGCATGGAATTATCTCTGTGGAAGGTAATTATAGCCCAGGGAATTCTAGGGGTACAAACTAAAATTAAATGTGTGTATGTGAAGATTGCCTATGTTTTTTTAAATAGCTTCATTGCTTTTATTTAAATAGTACAGTCTCACTTTTAAAGAAAAATTGAAACAGAAAAAATGACAAAGACTGATGTTTTAGTGGTGAAAAAACAGTCATCAATACCCTATTACCATTTTGGTAAACATCTTTCCAGACAGCTGTGTACACAATGTGCCTATGCATTTTACATTATGGCTACCTTAAAAGAAGAATCAGGGCTGGCCCTGTGGCTTGGTGGTTAAGTGCGCACGCTGCGATGCTGGCGGCCCGGGTTCGGATTCCGGGTGCGCATCGAGGCACCACTTCTCTGTCCATCCTGAGGCCGAGTCCCACGTACAGCAACTAGAAGGGTGTGCAGCTGTGACATACAACTATCTACTGGGGCTTTGGGGGCAAAAAATAAATAAAAAATCTTTCATAGAAAGAAGAATCAAATCTATGAATTATATCATACCACCGTAAATTATTCTCTTCTAGATTATAGTCCATATGGAACCCATGGTGGCTGGGGAGGTTCTCCGTATTCACCTCATCAAAACATACCTTCTCAGGGACACTTCAGTGAGAGGTATGAGTCATTCTTTTTACTTTTACAAACCTTTAAGATTATTCAACTTTTATTATTTTGTTTTTCTGGTCAACAATATTTTTAAAAATAAAATTTAAAATTTATTCCACACTTTCTTTCCCACCAAAGGGAGAGAATGTCCATATCAGAAGTCGCCGGTCATGGAAAACCCCTTCCATCTGCTGAGAGGGAACAGCTACGGCTAGAATTGCAGCAACTAAACCATCAAATTAGCCAACAGACCCAGCTACGTGGACTAGAGGTACCAACCTATAGATTTTTTTTCATTCCAATTTTTGAGGCATTCTCAAAGAGATTCTAAAAGGAGGAACTTTGAGATACTATGAACACAAAATTTAATGGTCTGTTTCTTAAGAGTTAGATAGATGTTCATTCTTCAAAAAATTTAAGGACTTAGAGTTCAGTTCTGGGACAGTAGGAAACTTAGAATTTCTATTACCTGAGAATAGAAAACAGGTTATCTGAAATTTCCCAGCAGGAGCTTTTATATTCCCTGATGGCACATTTAAGTTTAAGGTATACAGTTTTTCTCAACAAATTCTTTTAGCTTAAGATTTCTTTTTAATTTCTCTTATTTCCTTTAATCCTCAGCATTTATTTATAAATCTTTAAAAAGTAGAAACTTAGAACTTTGATCAAAAAAAATAGCCTATGTATAATAATAGCACCTTTCATTAATATAGTTCTTTCAGTCTATAAATTGCTCTCATACATCTTATTTGACCCTTACAATGTCCCTGACAGGTAGGTTAAGCAGGCAGTATTGTCTCCCTTTTTTAGTTGAAAGATATGAGTTTAACAGAGGTTGAAACATGAACCCAACTCTTCATACTCCAAATTCAGTGTTCTTAACACTGTGCTGCCTGACACTTAAGAGAAACAAAATATCAGAAAACAAAGAATTTTAAAAATCCTTTAAGTGCCACTTAAGGAAGACTAGGTTTTGTTTATACTGTTATCCTTTACTTGCGAACATATTCTATGAATATGGAAAACTGAAGACATTCTAGTGATAAATACATTGCTCCCTTCTGGAGAAAAAAAATACTGTTATGACATTAGTCTTTAGCTTTCTACCAAGATCTTTAATAATAGGTAAGACATGACTTGGGAAATAAATTTCTAACTAATTCTATCTTAGACTTTCTTACTAGGAAGACCAATAGGTGATTGTTTTTTGGAACACATGTCTGGCTTGTGCTCTTATGTAAGCAATAAGGTTTAGAATTTTTAAAGACCTATATAATAATTCATATTTTGTCTCCTTTTCCAATTTATTTATTTATGTTGGTCCAAAACATCTTGCTGATTCCTATTGTAAGAAAAAGAATGCTATATTTAGTTATGTCCATCTTTAATTCATTAACTGTTTAAAGATTCAGACCTTTAACTCCATAAAGCATTATTCCTTAAACAGCTAATTCATGGCTTTTTGTCATAGTCGAGATTTCTAGACACATTTTTCTGTCCCAAAAGAATATCAGCATCATTTGGAAGCTTGCCACATATTTAACTCACTATGGTTAAAAGTCATTGCCATTACTGAGGTTTCATCAAAATAAATTACAGATTTACTTCAGAGAAAATTCAGTAAAAAAAGAGGAGGAGGGCCTGGCCCCATGGCTGAGTGGTTAAAGTTTTCCGCACACTCTGCTTCAACAGCCTGGGTTTGCGAGTTTGGATCCCAGGCGAGGACCTACTTCATTCACCAGCCGTGCTGTGGCAGTGTCCCGCATATAAAGTGGGGGAAGATTGGCACGGCTGTTAGCTCAGGGCTAATGTTCTTCAATGCAAAAAATTAAAAAAAAAAAATCCAAAAGAGTTAAAAAAAAAATGCATATTTATAGTTGACTTCTCTTTCAAGTAAGAAAATAAAAAGAGCAACTTATACATAAGACTAAATTACTTATTCACTAAGTTTAAATCCTTTATTTTTTTCTTTTTTTATTCAAATAGTATTCAAAGAGAGACACAGTGTCTTATTGTTGCATCATTTTTATGGCAAATACCTGAGTGATAAGCCACTTAGGGCTGTGGTCTGGAATTGGGCCTGGTCATTCTGTACATGGTGTGAAGTGTGTTGAGTTGTGTATGTGCTTGGCTTTATGCACTAGGCTGTTAGTAACAGGCTGGTGTTTCAGAGGGAGGCGAACACCCTGGCAGGCCAGTCACAGCCCCCACCACCACCTCCAAAATGGCCTGGAATGATCTCAAGTGAGCAGTTGAGCTTGGAACTGCACCAGGTGGAAAGGGAAATCGGGAAGAGAACTCGGGAACTGAGTATGGTGAGTGTTACGGTGGGAAAAGAGAGGGAAGGTGAAAGGAAAGCTTCTGTGTAGTTGTGTCATAGAACTCATGGCCCTAGAGTTCTAGAATCATCTAGAGCTATAGAATCGTTACCCCCAGGCACTCCAATGAGTGATTAATACTTAGAGTAAGTCTCATGAAGATGGGCTGCCTCCCGGGCTGGCCCGGTGGCTTAGCGGTTAAGTGCACGCGCTCCGCTGCTGGCGGCCTGGGTTCGGATCCCGGGCATGCACCGACGCACTGCTTCTCCGGCCATGCTGAGGCCACGTCCCACAAACAGCAACTAGAAGGATGTGCAGCTATGACATACAACTATCTGCTGGGGCTTTGGGGGAAAAAATAAATAAATAAAATCTTTAAAAAAAAAAAAAAAGATGGGCTGCCTCCTTATTTTACTATTCCCCTCCTCATTCCCTTTTGGTTTGAGTGTGTTCTTTGTTTTAGGAGTCTGTATTGTGAAAAACTTGTAGGGAAAACAAGGTAGTTAGCTGGAAGTTATTCAATTTCTGTTAAACGTACTGATTAGGGAAGCAGAGGGGATGGTGTTTATGATTTTGCAGTACCATCATGTTATACAAAGATGTATTACCAAATACCATTCTGGTTTTCACAGCCCTCAAGTTATTGATCACCTCTTTTTTGTTATGAGTGAGATGCAGTCTACACATTCTTTCCTGTGGGATTGTATCTACAGGTGTGTTTAGGATTTGCTTCCTAGTGCATAAACACTCATTTCAGGAAATTTTGAATCTTCAGGGATTAAACCACTCCCTCTAGGTTGCATGGAAATTGACTTTTTTTTTTTTGAGGAAGATCAGCCCTGAGCTAACATCCATGCTAATCCTCCTCTTTTTTGCTGAGGAGGACTGGCCCTGGACTAACATCCGTGCCCATCTCCCTCCACTTGATATGGGACACCGCCACAGCATGGCCTGACAAGTGGTGCATCGGTGCGCACCCAGGATCCGAACCCGGGTCGCCAGCAGTGGAGTGCGTGCATTTAACCACTACGCCACAGGGCCAGCCCCGGAAATTGACTTTTTTGAGCATAGTTTTCACATTCTTTCTAAGCAAATAAATGGGGCATTTATTTTTCTGTTTTCAATAAGTATGTTATAGATCCTTATTATCTTTTGACTTACTTTTTCTAAGTCATCAGTTTTTCTGTGAGATTTTTTCATGTTGTCTTGAGGCATTCTCCCTCTCATTGTCCAGCTTGGATAGTGAGCAAGTGGGTTGTACTCTATTTAGTTTTTGTGTATGTCTCTCTTTTAGTCTGTCTGTTTCTTTGGTCATTCCACAAAATTAAATATGATTTCTGAGTCATCAGTTTGTATTATCTATATTTGGTTTCTCTTCCATTAGCAGCATTAAATAGGAGATAATTGAATTTATTTCCTTCTCTTTCAAAGGAGAACCAGTGTTCTCTGGACATGAAAAGCAAATCGAATACAAGTAAGCAAGCAGAAAATGGACAACCGGAACCACAACATAAGGTTCCCACTGAGGACCTTACACTGACATTCAGGTAAAGAAAGGGACATTATATTATCCAGTTGTGACAGAAGTTTCCTCATAAATATGATTTGATTTTTTAAATATAATTATTCTGTGTACATTGAGAAAATAATATTTTTGCATAAATTTAGGAGTTATAAAACTTCTTTCAGAACATATCCAAGGTTGAATTATCTGTTAATACCTAACAAATGAAATTTTCTGATGTTGTTTCCTTCCCCTTATTTTTTAATTTATTTAAAACCAGTGTTAACATTTTGATGTATACCCTTCTAGTGTTTTTAAAATGTGTACGCATTTAGCCTCTTTCAAACCCACCCCCCCCCAATCCCCCTGTTTTTAATTTGGTCTATCCATATCATCCAATATTCTTCTACAAGTGTGGAAGGATAATTATCAGCTATCATGAACAACCCTGCAATAAACAATATTGTAGTTAACTCTTTGTTTGTATATCTTTAATTACTTCCTTAGGGTATTTTGAGACTTTTGATGCATAGTCCTGAGTTGCCCTCCTAATGATATATAACAACAATTTCTAATGCCCTGTTACTTTCTGGCTTAGGTTTTGGCTGTTTAAATCCATGCGTTTTCCTGGATTCAAAATAATTATTTATACTAGTAAACTTGGTAAAGCAAGGACCAGTACTTTTTCTTAAAGGTCAGATAGTAAATATTTAAAATTATGGGTCTTAACATCTCTGTTGAAACTCTCGATTCTGCCATTGTAGTGTGAAAGCAGCCAGAGACAGTATGTAAACAGAGGGACAGGCCATGTTCCAATAAAACTTTATTTACAAAAACAGACAGCTGGCTAGCCTTAGTTTGCCAACCCCTGTGCTAAAGCATGGATCTAGAGCTGTAAATTAGAGTCTGAAGGCCATTCATATGTTTTTCCATCCTGCTAAAAGAAAGGGCTTGCTAATTTTATTCTACTAAATAATCATTTTTATCTCTCTCCTTTTGTTAAAATTCCACCTCCTCTTTTTTTTATGTTAACAGTGATGTACCAAATGGATCAGCCTTGACACAAGAGAATATCAGCCTCCTATCAAACAAGACCAGCTCTCTGAACCTGTCAGAGGACCCTGAGGGAGGAGGGGACAACAAGGACTCCCAGAGATCAGGAGTTACACCCAGTTCTGCTCCCTAAAATATGAGGAGTCCTACTTTTATCTTCTGCTCCTAATCAATTTGTGGGGCATAGGGGTAGGAGAACAGATAACTTCTAAACTTTTTCTCTGAGAGTGGTCAGAGAAATCCAGGAAAAGCATTGGAGGCAATGTGCACAAACACCACTACTAAAAACAAATCCTGCACATAGTTCACATTAATGCATTTTTTAATTTAAAAGAAAAAGAAAAAGAAAATTAGCAGTATCTGCAAGCAATTCAGATTAAATTTGTTTTTGTTCTGTGAATGAACTTTATTTTAATAACTTTGGACGCCTTGGATCCAGGGCTTTAAAAAAAAAGAAGATATTATATATACACTCTGTTTGATTAATTGTATGATCTTAATGAAGTAGGTTTTTCTTGTATTTTGGTATTATTACATACCCAGTGTATAATTCCTTACCCCTAGTCCTTTCCAACTCTCACAACCCCATAAGTTAAAACAGACAAAAAGCACTTTCTGAGAATTCTGTGGTGCTTGAGAAACAAAGAGACAGTAATAGACTAGTTCTTAGAAAATGTGCAGCAAACCAACTTTTCTGAGAGCTGTTATTTAGAAGCCATAGTTTTCTTTCCCTTTATGGGTCACTAGCTTCATGTGTAGGTATGTTTTCCATATGGCATTAAAACTTTTTTTGTTGTTCAGGAGAGTTTTATCTCTTGTTTTTGTTTTTATTTCAACTTTTCAGAGAGATAATGACCAATTAATTTTGAAGTGCTCATTTCCATATTATGGGTCCTTTTCATTGATTTAATGTAATCAGAAAGCCAAGCCCATGTTTTAGATTGTTTGATTAGATTTAAATGGAGCTTATTTTAAGAATGAACTGTAATTTATTAGCACTGCAAATACACAGTTGGTGCATTGCCTCTATTGAGCTGATACTTGGAAATTTGGAGCTGTGCTTTTCCAAATTGAACTTTTGTTGAAATCCTAGAATGTTCAAAAATCAGGACCATCAACCATATTTTAAAACTGCAACACTTGATTTGAACTTAAAATGAACAGAGCCACATTATTTCAATGGATGTTTTTGTTTTACTCTCAAAATCCAAAAGTGTAAAGTAAAATCCCTGGAGCCTCTGGCTTTCAAAGAGATTTGGCAAATACAAACTGACGAGAGCTTAAGGATAGTTTACAAATTGATCACTTGTTGCTGTTCGGAATCATTAGCACAAGTAGGTAGTAAGTACCTAGACGTCAATTTTCATAGACCTGGCTTTACAATATTGAAAAGAGTCTTCATGAAAATGTTGAAAAGAGTAAGGAAGAATTGTCATTATTTAGTTCTGCTGCACATATTCTGATGCCACGTGTCTATACTGAACTAAGACCCTATAAAACATGTTTAGTGGGAATTATTTGACATAGTCACCCTCCCCACCCCTCTGTTTGCCTGATTTTTAAAAATTTCCCTCTCTGGATTATACTACTAAAACAGAAAGCACTGGTTATGTAATAAGTTACTGCATTGCTTTGGTTGGGTAAAAGCAAGAGTTTATATTTTTCTTGTTTCTTATTTTCTTAACTCTTAACTCCTGCTGAGGTCATAACAGCCTCAGTCTAAGCTCTGTGTCCATCATACTGTTAACTGAAACAAATGGGGGGGTGGGGAGGGTTAATACAGTCCTGTCATTGCCTACCAGTAGGAGAGTCCAAACAGAACACTCTTTTGAGTAGCAATTATTTAATTTGCCCAGTCAAGGCACCGTGTTTATATACTATTTCACATTGAATTTGATTATGCCCTACAGACCTGGCTGGTCAAGGATTTGATATACACATATTGGCTTGGGATTCGAGCTTTCTTTTTTATTTAAATAAAAATTTATATATATATTATATATATACATATATACATAGCTATATCTGTATATATATTGGGTATGTTTTAAGGATTTTTTCGCGTGAGCGCAGCTGTTGCGATAAAATGACTGATTGGGAGGTAGAAGCACTGAATGAAGATGAGGCATTTTTTTAGTCAATGGCCATATTTTCCTTTCTTTTTTTTAATACACTTGCTTTTTTGCTTTTTTTGTTTGTTTTATTTTTTGCTTAAAACCCTCTTACATTTACTCTTCAAATGCTTATTGTTTTTTGGGAGAAGGAGAGAAACTTTTGTATGTCTGACAGAGTCCCAAGATTTTTCATTTCTCTGTATAACCATAAAAGGCAACATTCTTGGCCTCCAAGCTTCTGTAGGCAGATTTGGGCAGATCTTATTTCTCCTTTGGACATGTTAGATAATTTCGAAATTTTAGAACTTCTGAATTTTAAATTTTTCTAAATTTTGGTTCAATTTGGAACTCAAAATGATTCTGCTATTGAAAGGGAATTTTGGGGTATTAATTTTGTTGCAGTTAGGAGTAAAAGTAAAATTCCGTTTTGAGTATCTATTGAAACTCCTAATAACTCAACTTCTGTTATTCTTGTTCTTATTTTCTTCAAATACACTCATTTTTGCTTTCACCATTTTGATTTTGTAAGCTAGGCAGGAACAGGGATTAACTTACACAGTATTCCTATTCTGAATGAAACCAGAAAAGCTACTGTTTTAAATTGACTTAAAGTAGTCTCTTTCACTTTTTAAGGTATTTTCATTTGGGGGGGAATCTCTTAAATTGTAGCCTTAATTCTAACTGTACCTCTCTAAGACCCCACACTATAGAGGAAATCTCCTTGAGTAGAAAGGCAGAAGAATAGTATACTGTCCCATTGTGCCTATAACTTACCTATTTTAAATTAGTCATTCTGCCTTACTTCATGGAAATTCTTATAACTTTCCTAGTGCTCACAAGCAGTTTTAAGAATTCAAGAAAAGCTCTAAAGTTTAGGTATTTTTGTTTTTCTTTTCTTTTTCTGTATGCTATGCTTTGTGTTATGATAAGCCTGTAAGGATAAATGGCTTGTTTGGGCAAAACTGCTTGACTTTTTAACTGCTTTTTTGTCAAAATCTGTGAAAGGCATTTATTTTTCTGGCTTTTTAAATTTAAACTTAGAGACACTTAAGAGGTGAAACCAATCAGATAGGAAATATAGTTTTTATGCCTTCTACTTATTAAAATATTAATTTCTTCTGAAGATGACTGCTTTTCACTGAATTTAGAAGCAAGACTTGGACATCTCAGATGAAAATGAACAATTCTGAGAGTGTTAAGGCGTTGTATTCACTCTTGTTTAGATAACAAAACCAGGATTTTATTATAGTTAGGAATATAAAAGTACTTTGACTTATTCTTTTTTCAAGGGGGTCTCTGGAAAAGAGTAGAAGAACTGAGAATAAGATAGCTAGATTGAATTTCCTGACTTACATGTAGTTCTTTTGCCTTACTTACAGATACTGTCACAAGATAAGTCCAATAGCTGCCCTGTCTTGGGTAATTTACAGAGGCTGAAATAACCAAATATCCATTCCTTTTTACTTTTCTAATCAAAAGAAAAGTTAGTTATAGCATGGGTTTCTGATAATATTATTCAAATAATAAAACACTATTTCTAATGCCAGCTACAAATATTCAACTACTCAGAATGTATGAAAATTTATTTTGGTACAGCATGAATGTGGCTGATTCCCTTCTCCCATCTTATTTCCCTTCCCTTCTAGTCTTTCACATATATTTTATTCTTTTGCCTAAAAGACATAAAATTGGTATGATTCTCATTTGCCACTTTGAATATGTAACTCCATCAGACTTTCCATAGGTCTTTGGGGTTGGAGCCCCAATTTTTTTTTCTGGCCCTTCTCTATCTTGCAAATTCCCTTTGACTTTCCCACTGCCCTCCCCAATCTGCAACAGTGACAGTTTGCTGCCTCAAAACAGAGCATTCAAATGAATTCGCTTAGCCAATAACTTCTGTGAAGTTGCCTTTTCTAATGGTGTTATTACTCAGTGATGCACAAATGTGGTATTTGCCCTACTGGTAGGCAAACAAAGGTCTGGTTAAGAATGATAACCTGCTGTTTTCTTTAAAGGAGAGCCAAAGACTTGTGCTTTACTCTGTTTTGGTTTGGGGGGAAATAGTAGCCATTTTGATTGTGAAACCTTTTAGTATTTGTTAATTGATTGTACTGTGTAAGTAGATTTATCTCAGGTTAACTGTTAAAGTTAGCTGGCCTTATAAAATGTAAAAATAATGAAAATTCATCAGTTTCTCTAAACCAGTGAATGTCATCTACAATATTGTATGTAAACAGTCCCTCCCCCCTTTTTTTGAGATTATCTTGTTATGATAGCATCTTGTGTGGTTTTGTTTTTTTATTTGTGCCTAAAGGAGAATCTACTATCACAATAGTGGAGTCATGGGACTGGGTGAAAAAAAAAAAATTTATGAGCATGACTGGTAAGAAATAATTAACTATAGTCAGTACATGTTAGATTATATTTAGATTCAGAGAAAAATAGATTTTTTTCACTAAAGAGTATTCAGTTGTTATTATATACAAATGATAAAGGATGGAGGTTTTACCATCTTTTTTCCACTTTCTTTTTGCTCATTTTAAAGAATTGCGTAAAGGTTTCACATATAAAATCTATCTGTAAAAAGCACCTGTGATGATTTATATGTCGTTAAAAGGAAAGGCTCAGTTACTTTTTAGGAGAAATTATTAACCTGCCTGGAAATGAACTGCATTGTTTACTTAGATTTTTACCCTAAAAGAGTCCCAGTTGTATTTATTTTTATAGTGTTGCAAGGTGGTCTCTTCCCTGAAAAATCTGCCCATCCTTTTAGATAAAAATTAGAGCTACTGAACTAAAGCAAATTTCACTTTCAAAGTTAGGGATTGAACAAGCAAGCAGTCTACTGCTGTCATCATTTTGCCTGAGTGCCCATTTTGCTGGTCCACATTCATACCTTTCTACCTTGAACAGCTATGATTTTTATGTTTATTTGTTGCTTCAGCTCAGCTTTATTAAATTTTCCTGCCGAAATGACTTATTGGGAGTTGTAGGTGGATTGCAGTTAATATTTTTTAACAATTCTTAATTCAACTTTTCTGAGCCACTTGAAAAAAAAAAGCTATTTTTGTCAAAAGGTACTAATAATTGTAGTAAATACCAATTTAAGATTTGGTTTTTAAGATTTTATTTCTTTGACTGCTAAAGATGTTTTCACATATAATAGATTCTAGTTGATAAGTAATACTAGCTATAATGTTAATAAAGAAGAAGAAACTGCTACCACCAGGAAGAAGTCACACCTTTTAATAATAAATGTGTTCCCAATAGGTGGGTTTTCGATACTGCACTGAACAAAGTGGGTAAAGAGCCCTTTTGAAATCCTGTTGTGATAAAGGGACTTAGCTCACCACTGGAATCCTTGTTTTCAGAGCCTCTGAATTTTCAGCCAAACACTGAATTTCCCCTAAACTTTATTCCTGAACAAAACATCCCTAGAGTAATAACCTTTATTTTCACAAGAAAATAAGGCATAATAACCCAAGAGAGAGAACTTAAACCTCAAGACAATATTGTATCCAAAAATATGTGTCTAGAAAAATAAAATCCTGTGGAGTTTGTTATCCTAATGTATATTATATACTAGATAAGTTGGTTTATTTTCTTGTATTGAGGTCTCACTGTTTCTGGTTGGGTTTTTTGTTTTGTTTTGTTTTGTTTTTAGCTCTAAGTAGACAGAGCTCACAAGTCTTTGGCATCCATTCCAGGTTGTGCACTCAGAGTCATCTTATAACTGGAAGCTGTCAGGTGGCCCCCTGCCCCCACCCCAGCTGGTGTGTGAAAGGGTCAAGAAAAAGATGGAAACAAACTATTGGGTGGATAATTGGTTGCCTGGTTGTTAGTTTTTTGTGTTTTTGGTTTTTTTTTTTTTGCCTGATTTTTTTAAACTACCATTTATTAGTGTAATCTGCCATTCTCACAATAATATCTGAACCACCCTATAAAATAGTCCTCTGATTTAAAGGCATTTTAAGCTTTTGCTTATGGTTTTCACATCCTCTATTCAACTAAGACACTGTCCTGAGAGCTGCTTTTTCCAGGTGTGTTGTTGCCTAAATTTTCCTCATTCCTCCTTTCATCCTTTCTCCTTCCTACCTTCTGGAATGAAAGGAACTTGGGTAAAAAATTTTTTTTTCATTTTATTCATTGATCCATAGGCTACTTTATGATGAATCTATGACTTTTTGGAACAAAAGCAATGGAAAAAGTGAATTAAGATAATGAACAAAACGTTTCACCCACTTAAACATTTTCCAGTTGTGAGATTCCTCTTCGTGTGTGTGGTCTCTTCCACCTGTTACCCCTGCTGCCCTTTTTCCCTGACTATGGTCAATTTGGTCTTTAGGCTCATACCAGTCTCCCCGAGACATTCTGCAGTCATTATCACCTTTTTGGGTGGATTTTATTTTGTTTTATTTTGTTTTTAAAAAAAAAATAACTTTTTAACATTGATGCATATTTGCTTGGGATAGAGCTTGTGTAATTTACCAATCGTATTGATTGTATGTGATTGTGCCCTGCAGAGGTATATTTAACAAGACAAAAATAATGTAGGTTAATAAAGGAGCCCGTGGGATTTGAGTCAGGTTATAAATGACTTCATGAAATCACTTAAACAGTTTTGGATAGTAAGAATTTGTATCTCCTGTTCTTAGAAATCAGTGCTAGACAAAATACCATTTTTAAAAAGTTTTCTTGCATCCCTATTTTTT